GCCTAGCAACGCTCGCGCGTCCGAGGGAAGATCCGGGGACAGCGTTCTCAGAATTTTCAGAAGACTGGTCAGATGGACCAGCGGAATGTGAGAACGAACTGCTCATGACTACAGTTCCTCCCCTACGGTTGCTTCCGAGGCATCTACGGAGGCCTCTAGATGACTATTATTTGACTGCGTCAGTGTTGATTCATCTAGCTTAGTGTACGGAGCCGTTGGAGGGAAACAAGCTTCTTCGTCAGAAGAACCAGTCTCCGTTTAGGTGTAGGAACTGGAGGATAAGATACTATCCCACAAGGATGACGGGGAGTCGGAGGGATACCTTTTCCTCATATTCTCTGCATTTCCTTGAAAACGTGCGCGAAGACGACGCTGAACACGCCTTCTGAGGGTTCTCTTCGATATTTTCGTCAACATTCTACGATAAAACAAGAAAACAGGGTTACGGAAACAGAGAATATGTGCAGGGTTAATGGACAATGTGAGAGCAGTAACCGCGTGCGCGCAGCAGCGTGGGCGAGCAGGAAATGGCGTGACAGAGCGCTTGCACTAAAGCAAGCGCGTCGTCCGACCGAGTTGCCAATAATCCAGCGCGCAGTCATCTGCGCCGTTAGCGACGCCAGGCCCCTGGGCCGCGAGAGCCAAACAAATAGCAACAGTCTAACGTAGAGTTGACTTTCATTGCTACAAGGTACGTAAGACGAATCGATTTCTAAATTTCAACGAGTTGTCAGAGCGTCCAGTAGGCAGGAGTCTTGAAAAAGGTGAATCCCTCAGAAATCAAAAATTATAGACCGAATTCGAAAGACGCGCCGAAGTTGATTTGAGCCACCTAACTTCCTGACCTACTAATTATGCAATTGACCTAATTTAATCTCATCGACTATCCGCTTGCATGACCCATGTGCTGCCTACATAAATTTGAACCTGGTTCTTCTAAACAAGTGGCAATAGATTGTTACACCTCAGAAGGCAAATCATAGCCACCGTTCAGTTCCCGATTTAAGACATAACTCGTTCCAATCCTCATAAAAGATGGTTAAATAATCGGGAAAGAAAACATTTTTTGTTATTAGTATCGTGAATAACGTGGATCTTCCATTTTCGTAAACAGTTATTTGAAACTGCTTAAATTTTCCATTACAGTTTCCATCCGGTTTGACTCTTTTGAATGGACTTTTGCCGGTGTAATTAGCACAGCACTTTGTGGAATGTATCCGCCGGCTATCAGGCGATTGTTCGACCGTTCTCATGCGAGCTGCGATGGATTCAACTACTCATCTCGAGTTCAAGTTTTTCAATATTATGTTTGGGTGCTACTCCCAGTCACAGAGAGACCCGAAGGATGCCATTAAGTTACTCGGTATATATGACAAAGCAAAAAGTGTCTACATATTTTGCTGTGGCTCACAGAAAGATTGATAAAATTATGACAACGTTTTTTAAAGTTTACCACTTCCATGAATTTTTGTCGACTGAAAAGGTCGAAACAGCACGCATTTTCGAGGAAAAAGGCTTTCTGGACTTTCTCAAGGCAACTCCTCGTTCTTATAAAAAGTTGATCTGACAAATACCCCCTAACGCGTAAGCTATAGTACTAAAAACAAGCACTGAAGCTGCGCGCACGTTTTAGGATTCAAATGCGAAAAGAGCATATAAAATAGCTACGAAGAGCTGAAGCTGAGGCTGAGAGAACATCAAAAGGTAAGTTAGAACACGTTTGCCCGTTTCGGAAATTTCAGGCAGCTCAATCAAACTAGATTTTTCATGGCTTTTAGCTTCTACTGGACCGTCTGACAACGTCAGCCGGTTAGTTATGGCAGTAAGAATGTGTCTGTTAGTCGACCTGCATATCTGGCGAACTGTACGACAAACTTAAGGCAGTGGCAATAGTCAGTTAAACTATCAGTAATGAACCGCATTGTCTACTGAATCTTCATCATGATCATTGTCATTTTGCTTTTTTGGCATACTGAGCATTGCCACTTGGTTGTTTTAACTAACCAACATTGTGTTTGGTCGTTCGTGTTTTGGTTTTTCGGGCTGCGCGCCCCATTGGATCATCTTCTTTTTACATAATGAACACTAAATATTTTTACACCACTAGGACCCTGCGCCAGTCATAAAATTAAAGATGGAGTCCAAATTTTTCATTTGGATCTAGGTTTCATTTTTTCCCGTCTCTCATGTAGCAAGTGTGGATTAGTCAAACGGAGTGTAAGGTGATCAAGCAGATGCCGGACAAATTCAAGACTGCAAATTTAGAAAAACGGTTTTTCCCAAAACCCTAGTAACAGTGTCCCAATTATTGTTTTGAAGTCTCCAAATAAAGACTGAATATGTGACCTATATTTATATCTCGACAAATCGCTATTCACATATATCTACTCGATATCTACTGCTACTAGCGTATTTTGAGTAAGCGAAGATTATCTCTCCTGTAAGTTCAATTAGAATAGGGGTCTGTGCAACTTAACCAGCTAGTTAAGTTGCCCATATAGGTATCGGGCAAAAAAACATTTGCGAGCAAGGAAACCCGTTTCCCTGTTGGATAATGTCATCGAGGTAGCATTTTTCTACATCTGACTGGAGGCAAATGACAACAATTAGCAGTTGATATTTCATTTCATAAGATAAAGGTATGGTTTATGGTCGGGGTTACTTACTCCGGGGAGCAATTGTGACAAAAGAAAATAACTGGCGATATATACTTATAATTACCAGAGAAAGAAATAAAAAGACCTCGCAGTGGCTGTTGCATAAGGGTGGTCAAGATGCTTTTAGGCAGTCATCGGTGTAAAGATACGACAATGCAATATCTTTTTAACAGCGCCTGCAAAGGAACATTAAATTCATTCACTATTATCACTGAATGGTAAAACTGGTGTCCCGTTTAATTTCGGACAATATGGAGGATCGAAATTTGTAATCCCATAAATTTCTTAGGTGTGCAGTCCTTCTTCTCAACACAATCGCTGCTTGGACTAAGTAACCCCGGTCATAAACCATACCCCTGCCGCATATTGCTTTTAGTCAGTCAAGTGAAACTGAGAGCACCTGAAAATATCCAGGTTGTAGAAATCCCGCGGGATCTGCTGTACATGAGACCTAGGTTAAGCACTGCGTTGCTAAGGGCAGCACAAATAGTAGACGTGAATCTGCAGTCTCCAAAAAACGATGAGACGGCGACGTTAATCACAAAAGAAGTCATCTGACAGCCGAAAAGAGAAGTGGAAGTAGTTGAACGTTATAAAACAAAAAACGCAGGAAAGGTTGCGAAAGCGAACGTTGGGCAGTAGACAGGGTTTCTGATGTAAATAAAGTTTGCTCATGCAAAAGGCACGTTAGATCGCCGACCTATATAAAACAAGAAGGTGGTATGTGTTATTGTCCTGCCGATGTACAATCTTAAACTACATAAGTATGCTTAACGTAATGCCGATCTGCGTCACAGGAGTGTCTCTACTCTTACAAGGAGAAAAATGGTTATACATTGATCTGTGTGCATGAGCTAGGGCGGCTTCCTCGGATAACCTGTTCTCAGATTTAACGACAGATTCGATGTTCGTCTTTCAAATTCTTATGCTCACTATAGGCTTGAATATTCTTTGCGGATGCCCCTTAAGTTCGTGCATATGATCTCCCTAGGACAAGTTCACTTTTATTCACAGTCCGCTTATCGCTTCTGCCGTAGTGGCGTGGAAGGTTAAGGCATACATAGCTTTCTTAATTACCTACTTAATCTTCGCTTTGCGCCTAAATGTTGAAAGTAAAAAACACATTTAATTGTCATATATCAGTGCTTTCTCATCAAAGCACCCATTGATTATAAACAATTGATATTGTTATCGGTAGCTACCACTTTTTCTATCATGCTGTGCTACTTTTCACTGGCTATTTTAAACGCCAGCCTTCAGTATGGTGGGAAGGGTGTTCATCGATCAGATTGAAGTATAGCTGTCCCGCCGCGTTTTTCACGTCTTATCACGCCGTCGCATAGCGACTGGTAATGGAGCGCAGGCGAGGGCAAGGAAAACTGAAATAACCATCTCTGGTTCGTTAGCCCTCACCAGGCCGCCACACTCAGCCCTGTGTTTGGACAATTCGGGACTCAAACCCGGGGCCATTCGATCGGTGCACGTTAAGTCCAACGTTCTGCCATTGTGTCACGGCCCTTTGTCTTTGCGGCTGTGATCGGGAATTGCCAACTATTATGGAAAGGGAGCTTAACGATCAGAGGGGAACATGTTCATCTTATTGCTCATTAACCGAAAGAACCCAAGTTCGACGCCTAGGTCTTTCAAATCTGGCGTCGAGAAAGAGCGTAATTATGAGACGGTCCCCCTATTATTCTCTTTTTACTTTTTCCTCCCTCTCTTCTTCTTCCTCCTTGTTTTCTATCGGTTTTTTCCCTTAAGTTAGCTTTTTTGAAGGACGGCATTTTGCTCTGAAAATTTAAATAGTCTCTACTTACTAGTTTCAGCCTTAGCTCTTCTGAAAATTGGGATGATCAGACTTTTGGCTTTGAGGTCTAAATATACTTTGCTTCGTCAACTGTTACTTTTTAGTTAAATAAAATGATGTTCTCAGATTTCCTTGGGTTCTGATACAATAAAACAACGAACGTTACTCGTTTTCGTTTTTATAGTTTTAAATCCACCTCTTCTTCCCATCAAACCGGGTCTGTCTCGTGAAATTGGGTAAAAATCTCAAAGCAAGATGCTCACTAGGTTTTAGTTGATTCGAGTGCAACCTGACTTGCTGGCCAATTTTGGATGGAATAATCTATATGGCAGGAAGGCACTCACTCTTTTAATCGACTAGTTTTTAGTATATATTAGCATACGAACGGTTTTTGATTATTCTGGAAATTTTTTGGCCCAGAGTAGCACCTATTTTGCTTATCGACGTGGACTCGGAATTCAAACCTATCGTCTAGGAATCCTTATTTAACCATAAGTTTAAAATCCTCTCCTTACATCCATGAAAAAAGATTCGGGATGACAACCGGTAGCCCTATGCGAAGACTCCTACATCCGCTCATTGATCGCCTTGAAGGAGAGACCGATGAAAAGGCCTTTGCATCGTTGCATCGACTCATATCAATGCCCCGTGAGGAAGAACCCCGACAATGGAGGTCGGACTTCAAGGTCCTGCGACCACCTGATCTGCTGTCCATGCCGAATTCCAACACACTCCACCTACCCCGGCTCCTCTTACCCCAGCAAATTCACCGTCTAGGCTCAATTCCTGGCTGTCATGTGTCGGATACAATGAAGAAGCCTCCAGAGATCCCGCTGCTTCGGGCACGGTCTGCTTCATTTTCCCTTGCCCCTCGATTACAACTCCTGAAGTATGACTTTACGGCAGAATCTAGCAATCCATCAGCTTCCTGGAGGGCTCCAATGCTTCTACGTTTGCCTACAAGCGCCTTTGCAAGTTCCATCCCTCCAGAGCTGTCCTTTTTGTCCAAATTATCACTAGACCGAAAACAGTCATCCCCTCATCTGCCAAAGGAGGTTTCTGTCCAGGTGGGGGGGTCAACAGAACCGGCACATCAAAATGCCCAGATGGGGGATGGAGATCATTCAAAAGGTAAGGAAACTTGCGACGTTGGCAAGGAATCGTCAGTGGACAAAAGTACTTTGTGCAGTCTTGGTGGAACTAAAGACGAGGAGAAAGAACGGGTGAAAGAAGGCGAACAAAGGCCGTCTCCTTTCGACTCCAAAGGTAAATTCCGCCTTAGAAAAAAATAATTGTTTTGGGTTGAGTTTGAAATGCACGCCCTCTGCATAACCGAGAGAAAAAAACGAGCACAGAGGGGTTTACCATTAAAAGCCGAGAACATTTGGAGCCAAGATATACCACAGGATACCTTTGACTACTGATTGTAGAACAGCATATCGGGTGGGCGAGCATTTGAAAGTTACTTTAGCCTAGACGACCTTTAAGAAAAATTGCAGTGTGGCGCTTAAAAACTTGCTGTTTTGTCAATTAGTGCGGTATGCAGAAAGCTGCTGTGAAAAACAAAAGGGCGGTTGCATAATTTTGTTTGGTGGGTACCAAATGTTATTCCATATGCCCTTTGATGACTGCCTACTACGAGGTAAATCATACTGTAATCTCTTCATCCGTTCAACTTGGTTGCCGCTGATCACATTCCAAATATTGTCATTTCTGACTGTCCGATTAAAGATTTAAACCTCCGACGATGTAAATCGGTATGGAACTTCCCCCTCAGGGTGTCACTACTTTAATGCATACAAGTAGGAGCTATTATGCTTTATTTGAGGAATCTAAAATAAATATTTACCAATCAGGTACATACATATATGTACGCAACGGTATTCACAACCTTTTAATCGCCATCAACTTGACAGCCATCGAAAAAACCACACACCGTTCCAAACGTCATAGTGCAAGCATTAATTCCGAAAGTCATGTAATCCGTTTTATCAAATGATATAGGACTTAACTTCCCTGTCCTTGTTTAATATGGTGCCAGTTTTTAAATGTTGGATGGTTCTTAATCAAGGCATTAATTGCCAGCCCTGTTTTTTTTTTTAACTGAGACCACCTTCTGTCCCTTTTTTCCACGTTCTGCGCCTCCATTAGTGAGACTGGAGATATTAAATTCGCACTGAAACTGATGTTGCATATCCTGATTAGGTATGCATTAACTTTGCATCCTGGTCTACAATATGTATTAATCTTCAAAAAACATTCACTGGTATGGCCATCCCGACATCAGCCAGCATGCTCAAACATAAATTGAGTGAATTTGGGGTCTTGACCCGAATCCAACACCGCTGCAGTTAAGGTATGAGTTAGTGTCCAGTCAGTTGCAAGTGGGAGGATTCAAAGTTCTTATAGAACAGTGCCCACACATCTAACTTGAATGTCGGGTGGAATACAGGCGTATCGTTTTGACTTTGATAATCCTTACATACGATTGACTGTTAATAGGTTTTTTAGCAGATTTTGAATAATTTATGTTAACCCGCCTGTGAAAACTCGATGACCTCGGTGCGATTAAGATCCAAGACAGCAAGGGGGGCTGTAGCACAGCCACCTGATTTACGAGACCCGAGGTCGCCGAGCTTTTCGCAATTGGGTTAAAAAAAAAACAATTAAAATCTACAAAAATACCTATTAGTTATGTGAGCCTGGTAGTCATCTGGTGGACTCCTAGATGGATTACGTGGGAAATCCAACTTGGGCAGTCAGCTTGTTGCATCGGACTTAGTGGATTCCATACGTTACAGTTGGCTGGGCGGGTAATTTGACCTCAATATAATTAAACACACGGCTTCCGGTGGGGGCCCCATAGCTCAGGTGGCTAGAGTGTTGGCTGTACTAAAGCCTTCTCCTTGTTGTCGTGTGTTCATATCCCACCGAGGTTGCCAAGTTTTTCGTAGTTGGGTCAAACTAAATTGCCTGTTAGGCAGATTTATTACTGTGGCGCACGATCTCAGTTTTATTGCCTTAAAATTGCAACTGGTGTGCCAAGGTCTCCACTTAAGAACCTGTCAGTCTGTCAAGTTGCTTGTGTCGCACCGTGCTTGCGAACAGCAAGTAAACAATTTAAATTGAACCAATAAAGTTTGAAACTCCGCAATCAACTGATGTAGCAATTTATTTCTCCTTCATAAAAATGCAAGGTATTTATTTTGACCGAAAGTCGTCGGTTTCTGGCCAGATTTGGCAATTCCCAGTTGATAGAACTGGGATCTTGTCTACCACACGGAATCCAAGATTATTCGACAGTAATAGCATACTCTGTTGTCTTCTGTATATCCCCTTTATTCGCGTTTTATCCTTTCTGCCTAATGGTCTGGCAATAACTTTTGATAAATGTATAAAGGCGTTTGAAAGGGGAGATATTGGACAGCGATCTACCGCGATCAACTTCGACTGTTTTTAGCCACAGTTCGTCCGAACGGATTTCCTAATACTGTCTTTCCTGTGTAGGAAATGAGTGCCATAAACATCGTCTTCTTTTTCAGACCCCCCACAGGAGATGCCAGTCTTGCAGACCAAGGTACGTCGGTTGTACATCCGCATAACAGTCCTCGTTCCTTCTTACGCAACAATATACCACGCACTGAACAGAAAACTCCATTCATGCGCTTTATGAAAAATGTCCATAAGGGTCTCGCTGCTTAATGACGATATCCATGCTCGTCTTTCGGAAGGTACAGTTAACTTTGTGGTTTAATTGGCCATGTTGTTTTATAGTCGTTTAATTCGGCCTACTAAATCTTGTCAGCACCCAACCGTAGACGGTCAAAATGCGTTCAGGGTAAACTTTTTACTGTCTTGCATTTGTCGCGTCAGCCAAAGTCAAGAAGCTGCGGGTACTGAATGAATTGCTGTTATCTGCTTAGACAGAGTTTGCTTGCAATAGAGAAAGTTGGCTTCCTGAAGACGTTGCATCGTAATGAAGAACCATTTCTTGTAAGACATCTGCTCTTCTTATGCAGTCCCCTCCTAACACTAATTTCGTCCTTTGTTTGCACCAAAGGGTGTTGTTCTTTCACGTTAGTAAAGGATGCTCATTGGTCCAGCTGGCCACTGACTCTTCGATCGATGGTGTACTTCTAACCGTAGTTCCCACCGCTCGTGATTCCTGAGACGCTGAGTTATTTTCTTTGGAAGTACTTTTCGTCATTCTTAAAGCTTTTGTCCCTGATATATAATTCATTTTCGTTCGAGTATAGTCGAAAAAAATGGGTACTTATCACAGGGATTATATGTCCACCTATTAGAATGAGTAGCCTCTGACAAACGCAAACAAACTGCCTAGAGAGAGACACGCGGTTCGTCGAACAGGACTGCATTTACCGGGGCTCAAAATGAGGAAACAATCTTAAAATTGGCCCGGTGACATTTGTTTGTTCCTGACTTTTATCGGGAGAATAGGTAATAGTCACAGAGAAAATCTCCACAGGTTAAAATTCAAGAGCGAGCATGGTCATTCTGGTTTACCTTGAACCTCCGATATGCGGCTGCTGCAGACGGTTGCGAAGCTAAGAACAATCAGTAGCATGGAGGAAGTGTCGATAAAAAGGTTGAATACTGGGATAAGCATTACATCCTTATCAACAGTTATCAACCACCCAAGAGAATCACTTTAGGCTGGGAAACATGAAGCAAGAGTTCTGCCACCCACGACATGGGCTCACTTTCTGTCACCTGCTAATGAAACATTCCAAGTCACACGGAAGTTGCACCTGACGGTCATGTTTTGCAACAAGCAACATTATCCTTCCGTCTTGTCCCGGTAAAGAAGCCAGAAACAATCATTGCGGCATTCCCCGTTCTTGTGGCTATTCCCTTCTATATGACTACTTGCCTGTCGCCACATAAACGCCTGTGATCGCTATAGACCCGGTCCCCAAGGCCAAACGGAATGAACACGGGCACTCGTCCTTCTCTCGAAGCAAATCACGACGGGGATTGGAAAGGTAAGCCCAATAAGGGAGCAGAGTACAGCGTCTCCTGCTATACGGGACGGATGTTATTATTAGTCTTATCCGTAGGGCAGGTGAATGCGGCCGTTAATGGAATCTGCGGAAGGCATTGACAAAACCCGCATGCCTGCCCTAAGTTTGTTTTAATACTCCAACGAGGTGCCAGAACAGACCGCACAGCTTGAAAGATGCGAATTAGGGTGTGCAAACGGATGGAAAATAAGAAATCCACAGTTATTGGTGTAAGAAGGCCGAATTAACTAAGACGGTATGTGCCGGGCAAATCTAACCCTAGCCGTAGCCATTTCCCTAACCGTAATCTTTAATCAAACCATAACCTTAAACCTAGCCTAAATTTAACCATTTTCTTAATCGCAGCCAGAGATGTTACCCTAACATAACGTGCCTGCCATAGTCAAATAAGCAGACATGTTATGGTAGTGAAACACGTGTTTACGTAACGGATCGTTAACCAAATCTCACTTTGCGGGATTAGTCATAAACTGCCTTCGAACAAAAACAATAAGAGTGCTGTCTACCTGTTCAGTCGTAGGTGAAAGAGAACATTATTCCAGTTCCAACAACCGTCTACTGGAATTCGAGTGACTAGAAGGACCTGTTGACAGAAATTTCAAAGGTGAGTCAGAGAAAGAGAGAGAGAGGCGTTGATGTTCCATTGTAGGAGCTACAGTAGGTGGGCTAACTCATGAAATGTCAACAGAAATTCCGAAATGCGTTTTCGTTTCGAAAAGATTAAGTAGGGTTGTAAAACCAATCATATTGCAGTATAATTCTATAATAATTCAGTTACCCCAGAACGCCGGCTTTCGAATAAACATTTTTCCGGTTGCATCCAAAAACTATACTCCGTAAAAAGTGGCTACTTAAGTAGCATGCATTTTTTCATTGATTTTCGATGCCCTTTAAGATTTAATTATATTTCATGGAAAACATGCATAAAAATATTCATTCTTTCGCTTATTCAGCAGAAAATTACGTCTTCTTTCAATTTTATACTCGAAGGAGGTGTATAATTCGGTTTTAAAAAAGTTTCTAATTGTGAGATTTTTTAATACCGTGAATTGGCCCTTCATAAAACGTCGTCTCTGCATTTACCAATGTAGCTTGTAAAGTTAACAATGTGGCTCAAATCCACTGCTTAATTTTATGAACCTCATATGGTTTCCTCTCACTACCGTAGAGAAATTTACGGTTTTCTGTACGCGGAAATTATGCAGCTTGTAGTTTGTAGACCATGAATGCATGCGTAACGGGAGGTCGGGTTCAAAATTATTTGGGAATTGGAAAAGTTTTGTAAAACCAAATTATACCCTTCCTTCGAGTATAAAATTGAAAGGAGACGTAATTTTCTACTGAATGAGCAGAAGAATGAATATTTTTATGCATGTTTTCCATGAAATATAATTAAATCTTTAAGGACATCGAAAATCAATGAAAAAATGCATGCTACTTAAGTAGTCACAGAGAGAAAATGGGCCCCTGATTAATAGGATTTATGTGTTTCGCAAACTAGACTGTCGATCATACGACTGAGAATACGGTCCCGCTCATTCAAGCTGAAGAAGTTCCCCTGGATGTCCTGCTGCAGAATCTACTTCAGACATCCAAGTCGACTGCTACTGGCGTGACCTGCATCGCCCCTGAGTTTTTTCAGCCTTCGACAGTCAGGTCATTGCCATCGCAGTCCTCCGGTTTCCCACATTCAACGAATCCCCGGCCATTATCGCCGCGACCACTTCAAGCCCTTGCCATACATCCGGAAAAAGCAGTTCCGCCCGCGGCTGAGGCCGTGTCAGCCAGTGTTCCTTCCTCACCAGAGGCCCAGTTAGGTGGGTTACAGGCCGGCGATGACCGTAGTCAACAGCCGCGGCCACTGGAGGATCCTCAGGAATTAGATAGCCGACTCGCAGCCATAGACCGTGTGGCTCATAAAATCGAGCTGGAATACGAACGGAATAAAGAGGTATGTATTAGATCACCTAGGCGTAGTGAGAGATTTTCGCTTATTTTTCTGTCTTATCAACCTACGCCTCAACTATTTTCACCGGCCTACCGGACAGACCTTCCCGTCGTTATTTCCTGTCCCCGTCAAACCGCACTGTTCTCTCTTGTCGCTTATCATTCTGTAGTGTTCTTCAACCTTAGACAGATAATGGCTTAACTTTCAGTGTGAGCGATTGTGTCAAAACGGCATTCTAAAGCGCTCCTCAAATGTTTTGGCCCATTGGTTAAACCTTGTGTGACTATTTTTGATTGGTCTTCCCGATGTCAGGAACCTATGAACTACCGATATATGCATCGGAACAGAAAACGGTCGCTCGTGAACGCTTTACTTGGGGCAGGTTATGTCTATGCCTGAGGAATCTGATTCACCGGTAGGCAGAGCTATCGATGTGTCTTTTGCTTGGGTCACATGATTGACGTGTTATTCCTCAAACAGTATTGCCGTTTGAATAACCGAACGTCTCCTAAAAGGTGATAGCCGAAATCTACCAATTTTTCACGAGACCAGTCTCTACTCTCTAAATAAGAACATGTCGCGATCTGGGTGTCATGAGTTATTCTTCTCTTCTATACGAAGCGGAGATAAAATAGCGGTATGGTATATTGAACTACCACCGAGAGGGCGCTGTCGTTTTAGTTGAAGTAGCTAAGCGTTGTTTTTCTGGCCTACTTACGGTTTTGGTCAAAGTCCTCTTCTTGCCAGCCGAGCAGAGAGAGGAGAGTGATTTAAATTATATTTCATGCTGAGATGGACGAAATTTTATCAATTTTCTCTAAATCATACGGTACACGAAAAACGTATGATAGAGATTCCCTTGTTGTCGAAATGCGACATTTACGCCCGAATTTCACTAACTTCAAGGAGCTGTCCACGTACGCAGTGGCCGACGCCATTAATTGTCATAGATAAGTAAGGATAAAATTGAATTTTCGTTGGCCTAATGACCAGTACCTTCGGTTAAAGAAGAAGAACGCCCATGGGCGAAAAATAAAGGGACAATGTCTTCTGTAGTCAAAAACGTTCCTTTGGGAGTGTTAGACTGTTAACATGCCAACAATTTGGGAACTGAATTCGCACTCGATGTAGTCTTGTTGTGCTACGCTAAAGGGCGCGTGGGATACTATGGTACAGACGGCCTCATCTTGGTTGGATTTATGCCTTCTTGCTGCAGACATGCGAAACATCAGTTCCAACCCACAATTTTGCCTCTTTAATTGCAGCTTCTCCAGACCTTCCTTTGCCTTCATTCTCCGACCCCAAACAATATGCTCCCTTTCGAGTCAGAGACATCAGGGTGAGTTAGATTTATCCAACTCGGAAGGATCCATGTGAACATACTACAAAACAGCTTAGTAGTATGGATTCTTACGCTCCGCACTGGCTAGGCCAATAAGTTTCGCTGTTTTTATGACCAGAAATGTCTCAGCAAATTGGAAGTTCGGTAGACCGAGTAGTTTTTAGAGGGGAAGACAGTTCGTTGCTACCTATATATATATATATGCAGAATGGTATTACCGACAAAGACAAGGGAGACTGGAATGGCCATTTCTGGCTTATTAGCCGTCGTCAGCCAGCCATACCCAAGCCCGAAGTGTGGAACACCCGAGCCTCGAACTCGCGACCTGTTGGTTTAGAAGTCAACGCCTCTACTCACCGGGCCACGAGCCCGTTGCCCTGTCGGTTTTCGATCGGGAATATACAATGTTAGGGGGCGAGACCGAAATGAAGACAGTCGTCATAGTCTGCAAGGGGACTTAGCCATTATCGATTATTTGTCGGTCAAAACCGACAGGGACCACCAATGCCTTAAAATTAAAGTGGAATTATTCTGGAGTTTAATCATAGTCTGGAGACTTGTGGGTCACCGACCTCTTCCCATACCATGTTCAGATGGCAACATGGCGTTAAGACGACCAGAGATGGTTTAGGCATACGCAAAACCCAGGTTTATGCGTGACAAGCGCGTGCTGATGGCCACGCGCGCATCAAGTTTCCTTCGAAAGGCGATCTCGGATCGCGCGTAGATGGGCACATTTTGAACGAGTTGGTGCGGTCTGATCCTAAGCCGGGGGAGAGCTAACTTGACCGGATTGCTTGTTGTAATAAAATCGTAGAGTCCCTGCGTCACTGCTCTAGTAGCCTTGGGAACGTATTTATTGCAAATACTCGGGAACGAAAATTACAAACATCCCATTTTCTGATGAGTCGGTTTCTGGGTGACTGGTCATATCCTGCATCACACTGTACACATCTCCATACCGCAACGTTTACGTTTTTCTATGGCGGTCCATCTCGATGGAGTTTTCTGCTTTACATCAAACAGTATATCTACGAATGTAAGGTGGTTACTTACCATTACCCCTATCATAAATTGCAAGGATGGCTTGATTACTTCCTCTGATCGGTGCATTGAACCCTAGTTCTCTTCTCGACGGGCAAATTTAATCTGTAGAAATACATTATGCATGTGTGTTCAGACAACTGAGTAAGTGAAACAGCATAAGCACAACTACATTTAAAAACTCTTTTAAGCAACTCTTAAGGTTACCAACCTCCAGAAATTAGTGTAATATTCAGTATTACAGCCGGCCAACTGCATATTGTTTGCCTTCGATGGACTTAGAGGAAAGAAGACCACTTCCAGAGCGTTTACATGTCCTCCACAGTTCATCATATCTGCTTCTTAAACGACGAAAAATAAGCCAGGAAGGATTATTCAAATTTCTTTGTCTTTTCTGTCATAATTATCGATTGTTTCTGAGGTGTAGCGTTTGACTTAACCACGCTCGACGACCAGTACATTTGAGTTAAAATCTCAACTGCCAGCTTGCACTTGAGATAGGGTCGGCTTACTACGGAAAATGAGATAGAAATTGCTATTTCTGTCTTCCTTGCCTTTATCGGCAACAATTCTCGGCTAATGTTTACCGGTCGTCCTTCGATCACCCACGTAGGCGCTAGACATAGAGCCTCAAAGGAAAAAGGAACGTCTCAAGTGCAGCAGATTGGATAAATGTCATTCTTATCTGACCCTTCTTTCGTTTCTTTGGCTTATCGATGAATGCTAACACATTTTCAGACGGACCGAAAACGCCCTAAAACCAGCTGAGGTACATAGCGTCACACCCGAAGAGGAGTTCCATTATGGTGGTCTTTCCACCAGCCCGAGTCCCCTTCCCACGGAAGGCGTCATACTGCAAGAGGAGGCGAAGGAAGAAGAGGGGACACCAGTTCCCGCTGGATGCCTTCGCCTGTTGAGGAGTGTCCTTGAAGCGCGCACTCAGTCCAGGCTATCCAGTGCGCCCACTTCAGCGCGTTTCAGCTCCAGAGTCAGCGCCACATCTCCCTCAACGGCCCGCCAGAGTGCAAGGAAGGCAACTTACGTACGGGATCTGACTCATCAGGGCCCCCTGCGGAGAGAATTACAGCATCGACTGGCCGAACGTCGCCGGAAGGAGGCAAAAGACTACGCGACTAAGGTGATTCAAACCATTAGACTTTCCGTCTAAATCGTGACAAAAAATGGCCATTTACTTGCCTGAGAAATCCACCATGTCATACGGTATAAAAACCGGAAAATAGGTAAAGTAAGGCCTTTCTAGGATCAATTACCGAGGTATACTTAAGTTTGAAGCATCACCTAGGGACGCCATTTTTTGTTGGGCAACTTATGTTTTCCATAAGGTTGATCTTTACTTACGCATTTCTCGTTGGCCAAGACCAACATTGGAAACTGCTGCTGACTCTGAAAGCTTGGTTGCTCACCAAGAGATGATGATCTAGCATTTTCTGGCAAATCTCGTCACCGCAAGCTACAGTGAGTCGTTTGAATGCAAGTGAATATCTACTACTTGATGTTGGATTTTTTTCCAAATGACTAATCGTACTCGGTACATGCAACTTTTTCTCACTCTTCCTCCTTACTGCAGAAGAATGTAATTTCCTCTCGGGATGGAGATTGATCTCTTCTCCACGAATTTAATCGGGTTGAGAACGTTGACGACAGTATTGTGGGATACTGGCTTTGGTAGTATGAGAGCTGTCCCCTGTAAGGCCTCTATGCGTTCTCCCCGACCATAGCAGTGTAATTGTCCCGTTATTTTCATACATTTTCGACCGTTGCGAGTCTAATCTTTCAGCCGTAGTGCGCTGACGTCTTTCCTCGAAAGAGACGACTTTGAGGATGCATTTCTGCTCCGGTTCCCTTTAAGAATAGGTAGCACCAACCGTAGGAATAGATGTTCAGTTACCTTGGATTCGCTGGACTTTTATAGTGTTTCGAACTCAAAGTACGATGACTAGGGTTCATAGGTTTGCAGCTCATCTGCCAGGAAGTTGACTTCACGTTGCAAGATAGGAGTTTTCATATGCAACTGTGAAGGCTGAGATCCAGCGCCATTTCTATTGGGTTCGGTCTACTTGTTGACTGTTTGAGCGTCGTTGCGGGCGGCGTCCACCGTGTCCTCCACCGAGCAGGGCGACGGTGACTTGCGCGTGAATTCGATTAATGTGACATTAAACTTGTGCTGAGTCTGCCGCACTCCTCCTCCTCCTCCTCCTCCTCCTCCTCCTCCTCCTCCCCACCTGGACCTAGTGTCAGGACAAAGTCAAGACGACTGAAGGCGGGGAGGGCGCAGGTGGATGACACGGTCGAGCCCTCACATTGGCGCTTCACTCCACCGCCCCCCCCCCTGGTCCACACAGAAAATGACCAGCTTTTTGACCAACAACAAACAATGAGGATGACACGGTCGAAGCCGCCCCTAGGCGTGCCGCCACACCCGGCTCGGATCCCACGTAGTGAGAGTGCCATAAAGGCCGCATTAAGAGCCATTGCAGCCTGACACTCAGTCCACTCCATACAAACACACATTTGGCTGGCTGCGAGGTTCGAGTTATCCTGTCAGCTGGTAACTGTCCAAGCCACGGCACTTTGCACACCACGATAGTCACAGGCTCAGACCACACATGCAGCAGAGGAGGCACATGGCGAAGGAACCGAGGAACATACTTCCAACCTACATGAAAGGTTTTAATTACGTGTTTGCGTTGTGTGCTGCTAGGTGCGGTCATGTGTGTTGTAGGTGCTGCTGCGGAGAGATATGGTGTTATGCTATAGCCGGCGGTGTTCTACTACAGATTTTCATGGAGGGGCGTGTGGCCTTATAGGCCATGCGATGGCTGAAGGTACGAAGGCAGTGTAGGCAGGTGAGGCGATGTCGTCTGGTGTATTTCGGTGCACCAGGCACAAGTTACCCAGTCTTTGTTCAGTGGATTTGCAAGTGACCGACCAGGCCGATGTATGAGGTAAACGTGTGGTGACAATGTGGGCAGGATGGGTTATGGGGTGTTGGGTTGGTTGTCATCGTGATGCTGTCAGTGGTGGGCGCGCTGGTCGATGGGAAGTTGATTGGGCTGGGATGAGAGGGATGATTGATGTGCAATGTGTGCTAAGTGTGTCGATACTGTGGTGAATTCCACTGTTGTGGATTCGCATGTGAATGAATATACCCATGCGGTGTATGAATGGGAGTGGGCAATGTGGACAGTGAAGGAGGATGCGGTGAATGTATGTGAGGGCTGCTGGTCACGGTGCGATGGATTTGCAAGTAACCGACCAGGCCGATGCGTGGGGTGACTGTGCGGTCGTGATAAGGGCAGGTTGGGACCGAGTCCAAATCGCTGGAGTCAGACGTGGCAATGGTGAGGGTGGTGGTTGACGGACCGTTGTGAAAGTTTTGTTCGGTGGTGGCCGCCGTCGTCGTCACGGAGGTTGTGGTAGAGATGATGGAGATGGCGGCGATCGACGGCGGCGGGTTGCGGGAATGCTGAGCATCGGCCGTGAAGACGGTCGTCGTTGTGGACGCTATGGGGGTTGGAGCAGGGCGTTAGGAGAGTCAACAGTTGGGGTTGTTGAGATGATGCAATAAGTTTGGAGATGTCCGACGTGGCTGATCCTCTAGCGGAATGTTCTTTGACAGCACGGACCTGCTGGGAGGGGCTGGGGTTGACTTTGCGGGTCAAGGGCGCCTGAGACTTGCGAGCTTTCCTTTTGACTTTGACAACGGCGATCCGGTTGGCTTCATAGATGACTGCTACAATCTTCACTGATTTTCTCCAGGTCGGTCGGTTTTGTACGAGGTTTTCACAAGCAACTGATTGATCTGTAGCGGCTTCAGGGTGTTTTTTAGGGACGGGTTTGTCTTCCTTGCCGGCGAGCACCCGTGGAGACATCTCCGTAGAAGAGTTGTTCTGGTAGGCGCTCATCGTCCATCCTTATGAGGTGGCTGCTCCATAATAGTTTCAGTAGCCCCAACGTGGCGTGAATGCTGAGGATTCCAGTCCGTCCCAGAATTTCTGTGTCCGGGACACTGTCCTGCCACCCCAGCCTTATTACCAGCAGAGACAACTGTGGTGGAAGTGATTGAGTTCCTGCGCTTATTTCTTGTAGACTGCCCAGGCGTTCGCACCATACAACAGCCTCGTCAAGATGGCCGCATTGTAATCTTTTGTTTGGTTTTCAAGTGGGGACCGTAACGATCCCATACGGAGTTCTGTGGCCGGTCGAAGGCTTAGCTGGCTTCGGAGATCTGGTGAGCCAATTAATCGTTGATGTGAGCGAAGACTTACATAGCGATGCTGAGCTACAAGATTCCTCTTTGGATATCACAGAGTTGCCGGTTTCGCTTCCGTTTGTAAAGATTGAGGCTTGTCGCATCCTTAAAATCCCGATGAACCTGTCCTCGGAGCCACATTTCCTGGAATGGCGTTGTAAGTTGATCCATCAGCCGGTGGCCACCGTGTATGAAGACTTCTGCCGGAGTCGCGTCGGATCCCGATGCCTTCCCGCTGGAGAGTTGGTGCACGGCTCGGACCGTTTATCGGAGAAAAGCGTCAGATCCAGGTTGTTCTTCGGTTCCACCTGAGGGAGTTGGTCGATGGCGGCGTCGAAGATTGTAGATGGGCGGTTGAGGACGCTTCTGAGACCCTTGACGCAGTGCTTCAGAATCTGTGATTTCTCCGTAGGTAACGTCGTCCCACCAGAGCTGAGAAGCGGTGTGGTTCCTTCCTTTGCCGGGTCGTAGATTACTTTGAGTGATACGAAGAAATTTTCCGTTCCATTGCGGTCAGCATACCCCTAGATTTCCTCCGTCTTGCGAGTCACTTAGGCGTCCTGAATCTCTCGCTGTACAACCCGGCCATAGTGGAAGGATGCTTCGTTGTTGACGTCGGTCCTATGGTTTATGTAGGCCTTGTGCAGTGTGCGCATTTCATTTGATGATGTCTCCGTCATTGTCGTCGAATCAGTCCTGGTAGTGACGACATTCGCGTCCGAGGACGACCAAGCAATTGACACCACCGAGTCTGCATGCTGGCTTTTTCGTCCGCGACCGGCAGCCGTTTTACGTGTTCGACTAATTAATTTCTGAAATGTAAGCGTTGAGCAGGTAAATTCAACTGGTTGCCTGATGGTCGACTACCTTGTGGTCGCCTGCGAAGTTGCAGTCGGATCCTCATCTTGGAGATGACGAGGGGGCGACCCGTCCAGCCATCAGCTCCATGGATTGCCTTGGTCGCTGGTAATTCCTGTCGACTTAGCTTCCGGACGAGATCGCAGTCCAGCAGCTGCCAGTGCCGCGTTCGGGGGTGCATTCAGGTAGGCGGAAGTTGGTCAGGAGGAGGCAGTGTTCTGCGCAGTTTCGCAGAAGGCCATTGTTATTGTCGCGCCGCTGATTCTGTGGGGATCCAGAACTCCTCCCTAGACAGCGTATTCTGTCCCAACGCGGACAATGAAGTCACCAAGGACAACCAGCTTGTCCGTCTTTGACGCAATCGCCAAGAGGGCGCGCAGGTCTTCGTAGAACTTGGTCTTCGCCTCACGGGAGCTGGTCATATTGAAGGCGTAGGCACTGACGATGGTGGCGAATTCGGCTCCCCGGAGACAGATGCAGACATATGAGTCGGTCGTTGACACCTTGCGGCAGACAGGGTAGTCCACCCACGATGTCGTTCTGAATGACGAAGGCAACGCCTGCGTCACACCGCTCTGCCTTTGGGCGGCCGCTCCAGAAGGTGTGGCTGGCACCTATCTCCTCCACTTGACCCTCTTCGGAGAAGCGGTTCCAGCTGGGAACAGCGATATCCACTTGGTAGCGCGCCAGTTCTCGCGTGACTAGCGCCGTTCTTCGTTCCCGTTGGCTGCTCGTGGGATTGCCAATAGAAGCGAAGAGACGAGTCCCAGGAAGCAGTCTCGAAGAAGGAGACACGATCGCTGGGACAAGAGCTTTATTAGCCTGGCGTTTCGGATTCCTCCTCGAACCCATAATCAGAGACTAAGCAGATACGATTCCAGCAGGAATCCGAAACGTCAGGCTAATAAAGCTCTTGTCCCAGCGATCGCGTCTCCTTCTTCAACACTCCCGGGATTGTTTATAATGGAAAAAGCATTCCAAGCTACCAAGGGGAGTGGACTCACTCTAGTAGCCTGCGGAGTGGGGCGGAGGGGATGGGGATGTGGGTTGTTGTTTGTTTGATCGCTTCGACCATGATTTGTCTATATGTGAGCCACGGTCTGCTTGCAGACGACCTGATCCCCAAATTCGTTAAGGGCACCTTTTCTAGCCTTTCTCCCTGCGAGGGAGTAAGCAGTGTTGTCCCTAACTAGGGCTACTTAGACATCCCAGGCGATCACCGGACTCCGCTATGGGCCACGGCTCGATTTAGTTGGAGAACGACCCGAGTTATCCTGGGCCATCTACGAGATTGCATGTCGTCCTTCCCGTAGGATTTTTGAAGTGGATGGGGAGGGAGTTAATGAGAGGGAAGGAGGAGCGGTGGGAGGAAGTGGAGTAGTTGGGGGGAAGGGAGGGAGGGGAAGAAAGTGGAAAAAACATTAGCGGGTATGATGACACGCAGCACTCGATGCTCTCATCTGGTTTAGCCAGCCGACCGGGACGGCTACCGGGGTATGACCGTTTGGCAGAGCTTAGTTTTGTGAGGCCACAGATAATATTTGGACACCAATTACTGGATGTTAGGCGTAGCTACCACCTACACGACACAAATGATACGACCTGAGACCAGCGTAACGTGGAACCCATAACCGGACACCTCGGAAATCCCTCAAAACGAATTACTGACGAGCAAAAGTGCTATTGCGTGCAAATCCTTGCTACGACCAGCAAGTGAGAGGCGAATTCCAGGAGAGAACCAATAGTAAGTGAACCACACAAAAAACACAGCACGCGTTCCATTTGTGATGTTACCCTGATTTTGGTATACGAAAATTGCAGACAATATCACTCCACTTTCAGTCCTGTAGAATTGAATAGGTGTCCTTTGTTAGATTCCTTTAGGCTATACAATCATAACAGGTTTTATCACTCTTTATCTTCCTCCTTCAAACAATTACTTTTTTGCCTCTTGTTTGGTCGGCAGATTCTTGCCGAGTTGGAACAGCGATCGGCAAACCGGACACCATCCATCAACCCTCGTCCGACCTCCAATTTCGGATCGCGTCGGCTGAAGGCGACAAGCAAAATTGTCCATGTTGGTGAAATTCCTTCTTTGTGTCCATTTCAACCTGTCAGCCTTCCTCACACGCCTTTAACGGGCGAAATCTTATGTGCATCTGTAAGGGCGAACGCTTTAGGCGTGGTTATCGATTCCCTGAAGGACGTGCGCTAAAGCGATGACCATGCACAACAGTCGGTTGCGTTCTCAGCATCGGTTAATACCCGCTTAAAGCCTTCTTCAAGGTCTCGTTCTGAAAGGGTTTCTCATCACCTTCCGCCAAAGTCCTAGTAAGCGGTCTTGATGGACCGTCTTTGACAGGGGCGAAAAGGCGAGTCCCAAGAGGCAGTTGACAAAAAGGGAGACTCAATCGTTCGAGCAAGAATCTCATTCGTCCGACGCTTCGGCTTCTCCCCTATGCCCATCGCCAGAGATCGTGGCGGATAACAGTGGCAAAATGCACTGGGGGTTCAGTAATCACAGAGTGTATTTATTACCTACTCATACATAGTAAACTTGACAATGTTTGCATCAATCACAGATGTCCGTACTTGGTGAGATGGTGACTCATAGCCAGCGGCCGCGATCTAATCAACGGCCCTGTGGTGACTTACTCGCCGCCCCTCGTAGCTCGTAGGCCTCCTCCCGAGGTTAACTGCGATAAGCTGGGAGAGCTCAAGGCCGATAAGGACCCCGTTATCGTGTACGCGAACAACGAGTGTTCCAGCGTTGCACTTGATAGGACGAAGAATCTTTGAAATATCAGGAGTTTACTGGAGGATTACCATTTATATTCCCCATCCAAGTCCGATTCCTTAAAAGCGCCGAAGCGAGAAATTAAGGGCATCTTATTGGAGGAGATCTCAGGTGCAGTACCCTTGGTCGGCCTACGTATGATGAGAACTCAAGGGACCGCCCTGGCTCGCTTTTATAGTCTCCCCAAGGTGCACGATAGTTTACAAAGGTTAAATGTATCTAAAAGTTGAAGACGACTGTGAAAATCTTCAGCTGAAAAACCACATGCCACGTGGGATTTCCTTTCACAACTACTATCCTTGTAATTCAACTAAAATATTCCTTTCCGTGTGGACACATATTCGTGGACTTTTTGTAAGTGTTTCATGAGTTTGCGAGTGTGCTGATCTAACCGGTCGGGTTTACAACTGAGAGCCAGTTCGACTGTCAATTCCAACGATGTTCATCGTGTCCCCCAGGAGCATGATGGGCGCAGGGAGGGCGACTTGCGCCTGCGCAGGTGTCAAGAAGACCGGAGGCGGGATCGGGCGCAGGCGACTGGCGCGGTGTGAACCCGCACCTAGGTCTGCTGTCACACCCTCTGTTCCGCACACAAGGAACCAGGATTTCACAACAAAAAGTGCAGGCGGCTCACATCTCAACTGACTAGGAGTGCCATAGAGGCCACACTAAGAAGGAAATATTGCAGTCTTACTGTCCATCCTGAGAGGAGGACCGAGTTATCCCCTTAGTTGGTAGCCTTCCAAGCCACGGCTTCTAGTGCACCTTGGTGGATTCAAGCGCGCCGAACTGTTTTTAGTAAGGAATATACGCTGAGACATTCAAGCTCACTCTTTCTTCCCTCTCATACAGACCAAGTCCACTGTTCGAGCCGGTCAGTTATCTGGTGTGGGGATTGGGCGCAGTGACTGACAAAGTTGGAAAGCTCGTCTACGCGTGCCACATACATGACGCGGCCACGCCCCTCCCACACATGTCTCCAGGATTTCATACAAAGAGGGAGGGGACGGCGGCTCGGATCACAAATGTGTGTGTGAGAGTGCCCCAGAAGCCACATTAAGATAGGAGCCATCGCAGTCTGATCCCCAGTCCACCTGTCGACCACTCAGCACAGAAACACGCACTGGGCTGACTGCTTGGTCTGAGTTGAAGCTCCAGTCCGCAACCTTCTAATTCAGGGCTTTTAGCGTACCATGATAGTCCCAACCTCGTCAGCTTGTAAGGACTTATACACTGAGGGTCGACCTTACTCGTTCTTCCCCTTCCTGTGCACCGGCCGACTGTCCGGGCCGGTCAATCAACGGATAATGAGATTAGGAGAAGTAGCTGACGGCGCTGAAAACAACCTGACTGTGCTTGCCACACACAAAACACGGCCCCTCATAAGCGTGCACCAGGATTTCACACACAGGGGGTGGACTGCTCGAACCCAACCTACAGTAGAGGGGTCACATGGAGGAGCCGAAACACAAACTTCTCACTTACGTGAGAGGCTCCCAGTTCGTGTCTGCGATGTGTGATGTACGACGTGCTCGTGTGTGGTGCATGTGTTGACGTGGAAATTTGTGTTAGTGTGGCTTAGTCCGTGGTACTTTATGGCAAGTTTTCATGGAGACGCATATGACCGAGTGGGTCCGTGTGGTGGCTGGATGCGTGTTTGGGGGGGGGGGTGGGGGGACAGTGCAGGCAGTTGAGACAGTGGCCCGGATTTATGCTGGGGCTCCAGGCTCTGGTTCGCCAGCCTGTGTGGGAAGTATTCACAAGTAACCGAACAGGCCGATTCATGATGTGCATGTGCGGTGGCGCGAAATTGTGGATGTGGTTCGAAGATGACACTCTTGTTGAGTGCGCTTCGGTATCGCTAAATATCAGGGAAATTACTGGGCTACTGAGGTGGCTTAGTAGAGTGGGCTTATGTTGAATAAGACCTAGCCCGCGTTGTGTCGGCAGACCACGTTCTGCCTGTCACTCGTAGTGATCAATCGTAGCAGAAGCAAACAGCTATGAGGCCAATTTCAACACCGTCAATTCCGCATCGTCACAACAAGCCCGTTTAAATTTAGGTAACTTGTGCAATTTTCCTTTGGTAGCTTCAGACGCGTTGCTATAACAAAAGTAGACATGTTAAAACGCCTTGTTTTGTGCAAGGGTTTCTTTTTACTAACCTTTTGATCAACGGGAGCCAGTAGGAGATTCAAATCTGTCCTGCTTACAATTAAACAAAACGAAATTCACTAATGTTTTTCAGCCAGTATGTCGAAATCAGGCTGAAAATATGGAGCATCTGATAAATTTCCTCCATAAATGACGCAACGCCAGTGGGAAATTACTTTTCGCGACATAGATGGGCGATAAAATAACCAATTTTTGTTGGCATAGAAGGGCTTTCAGGTAAATAGTGTTCTAACTTGGTAGGCATATACACCCGGAAATTGTCGAAGCACTGGATGCATATCAAGAAAAATAGGGACAAAGCAATCGATCTTCTGGTCGACAAATAAGGTCGTTTTGATTCATGAGCTTTCTGTCAAAATAGTAAGGCAAAATAAATTAATTACGGTTTTAGTTTCAAGAGGAGCAATTCTGTCCTTCAAGACGGATCAGGGCTGCAAAATTTATATGTTACCTAGATGACGCGGGTTTTTTATATCACTGAAAATGCTATTTTTCTGTCGAACAGTCTTCAAGACAGCAAGGTTTCAATCGTGCGCCAAGTTCCTTCCGATCCTTGGCTACCCCCAATAGGAGGGGCATTTATTCACCAAGTTTAGGAGGACCTATAGCAAAGCGTAAGTATCCTTTAGACCAGTTTGATTTTTACAGCAGAACATGCAGTTTGCCCACAAAGTAACTGCACAGATTCGTCAACCCTTCCTTTAGAATCGAAATCTAATGCTGATAATTTGCGATCGCCGCGAAGAATACGTCTTGAACAGGAACTGGATGATCCACAAAGCCTGATAAGTGACAGTTCGGGGGACGAAATAACCAGAAAAATCCTCCGTGGTTCGCCGCCATCCGGAAAAACCACACCCATCCGCGTTTCTGCGATCAATGATAGCCAGATCAAGGTATGTTGATTCAGCCCGGGTGGCTAATTCGGCGTCTCACGATCATTCTTCGCATTTTAGATTGCGCATAGTCTGAGTTTGACTGATCTATTCTAACGTATATGTGTGGTTACATTTACAAACAGTGGGTTGAATTTCGTTGCCTCAACAGTTCAGCAGGTAGAGTACCCGACACGCAATTGGGAAGGCGGCGGCTTGAGGTCGTTGTTGGTCAGTGTTGTTGCTGCCTAAGTTTATGATTTCTTATACGCTGCTATCAAGTCTTATTGACTGGTTTATTAAGTACAGAACTTCACAGGAGCATGAACGGCCCATGGAGTTACATTAAATTGTAATAGGGCCAATTTGTGCTTGATTTTTTTCTGCCTTCAAAAGTGAGGTCCATCTCCTGGAGCACCGGTTTATTTCGACTCCCAAACTATTTAACGGGTTTTACGGACAAATGATATCAAGCTGATTTCAGAAACTACTCCTGACTTGACATCCTTCACTGGTTAGCCATATGGTAATCCTGGGCTTGAAAGTCTCAAGATTTAAATTAAAAGCAGCCTCTTAGGTGATCTAAAATCCAGCAATTTACGCTTGATAAATTTTGTCGAGAAACAGGAACACAATGCCCCCGTTTTTATTTTTAACATTTCTGATTTACTGACCGTTATTTGCCGTGTAATCATCTTCGTGAGCTGTGAAGCCTCAGCTCCAAGGCAAAGCAAAATGCTCATTTTCGTCCTCCAATCACGATAGATTATTGCCTGCCATTATCATTTGGCTATATACGCTTGATCAGTAGGCTCATGCTCTTTTGTATGTTGGAATGAGAATACTCAGCTTATGTTGGAGTGGTGGTTACCGGTCTCGTTTGACTGCAGGAGCTCTTGTGTCTGACAATGAGCCCAAACTAGGGCTGGCGTAGGCGGTCGCATGGCGACAAATAATCAACAATGGAAAGAAGTACGGAGAATGGGGACTGCTATGTCTGGCTTACTCGCCGTTCTCGGTTACTTGTGCCGACAACGCTTATTGGAGAAGGGAGACGCACAAAGGTGAGACAGCCAACTGGATGAAAGAGGACCCAATTATAGCAAATACACCTTGGCTTTGCGAGCCATTCAGTCCTGGTAAAGACCTCTTCGGCAGGCTAGCTGTCAGAATGCTTTGCGGACAGTGTCATCTAAATTAGAAGCAGTGAACAATGGAACATCAAGGAGATAAATTATTTTTTTTTTACAAGAATCGCAACATTGGTAAGAAGTCTCATGTAGGTTGCCGTTTCTTATAACTCCTCAGGAAAACAGAAATAGTGTAGCACGATGACTCTTTCGTATTCTCTGCAGACTCGTTTTTTTTTTCTTTATAGGGTTTGCCTGACAGCGCCACGCCGAATTCATCCGTCTTCATTGACTGGGACAAAATTGATGAGCTTATCGAATCAGGATAAAATTTCCCTCAAATTTATTCGATGTTTTTATCACGCAAATGTCTTTTCAATGTTCTGCTTGAGTGAGAGGACGGTTACTGCCACCTATTGTTTCACTCCTGCATTAGGTCATTAGTTATAGGGGTTTGGCGTAAATCGGGATTGTGCGGGTAGAAATAGTAAAAGTGACAAAACTGTAGTGAAAATTTCGTTTAATCCTTATTTGTTTGTTTAAGCGCATCAACGACCGACAGTCCAGCGGGGCGCTATTTGAGAGCGCCAAATAAACTCTATGGGAAGAAGGCACCTACTATTAACTGTGACAATGCTCCCGCACCACTGAAACAGTTAAAATAGTGTGCATTTTTGCTATGCATTATGCGAAGGTGGCGTGGGGATACTGAAATGTTTGTGACAGTACAGGTGAAAATGCGTGGCGAGATGCAGGACACAACGCATTATTGAGCGCCGATTCATTAAACACCAGGGAAAACAAGGGTGTGATCGCCTAGCCCCAACTCAAATCTCAGCCTTGACCGAGACCGACAATGGTTTTCAGCTGTTGTGCACCTCACAAAATCGCAAGTCCCTCGCGCTACTTCACTTTATTAAGTAGCAGAGTGGACGGAATTGTTTTTACCGAGGTGCTTGCTCATGTTACTTTTCGGCTTGTGAATAAACCCATCCCTGAGATTACTTACCTACCGCCTAACTTAACCATCAGCCTACCTTTATTACTAGACCTAAATCCAACTTTAACCGCAATCGTACTTCGAGACCTACATCAGCAGCATACGTTTGGCTCACCCAAACCCGTCAGTAGCACGAGAGAAACACAAATATTGAGATGAAAAAGTGGTAAAGAATGAACCGAGAAAAATTCTCATGGGTTCCTTAAACTGCATCTTACTGGAATATGCAGTACATATGGTTGGTCAAGCGTGCAGTTATTCATATTACAAGATAAGCTAAAATACTTTGTGCCAGTGCGGCGTTGGTACTTAGGCAATGTGCCCTTGGGCTGTCTCAGAAAAACCCGTAAGCGACCGTTCCGCCAAAAGGCTAGATGTCATGTTCGCAGATCCTGTTTGAACTGGTGTAGGCAAGAGAAATGTGTCACGAATAAATAGTATGAGTAGGCAGATGAAAACCATTGTTATCTCTCTGGAAGGACTATGTAAGTCCTGCTCGTCCTTATTACTGTCATGCTTCCCTTCGAGCTGGTGTTGCGCCTGCAGCATGTTAGCATTGTGCCCTACTATTCCTTGCAACCGTGTCCACTGGTCATTAAATTGTTATTCGAGCACTCTGAGCAGTCGACAAATGCACACTAGGGGCGGCATCGTGAAAGAGAGCCCGATCAAGTGGGACTGATGGCTGTTATCACTGTACGTACCTTTAAGATAAAGTGTGCGGGGGGCCATAAATGGAAACGCACGTTTCAGCTGTACGATCACGCCCAGTTGACCGATGCAGTTGGATAGCGGTTGCCATGAAACTATCCTGCCGGGGATACCCTTTCGCAGACATACTACCAACGAATGGTTTACCATATTGACAGCACCGACGATTCGACGGCATTCTGCTGCTGCATGACACAGCTGCGAGGATTTTAGGCCCATCGGTCGGTTTCCAGCATTCTCTCTGGACTTTATAGTATCTCGTACAGTTCTGCAACTCCAATTTTATGATCGCTACAGAAAGTAATGTGCTGACTTGGAGTAAATCATTCAGAATGGGCCGAACCCTCCACAACTGTGTTATGTAGCGGTAGAACATAAGCGAAGCACGTGTCCGGATTTCCAGCCAGTGCCTTTTTTGTCAATGTGGTAAATCAAACAACACGTATATTACTACTGGCTGCCTGTCGGTAGTTCATGAATATTATACAATTATTCCGTTGTGGCTGATAGACATCGGCCCAAGTACTCTTATTAACTTCCGGACTGAGCCTACAAAGCCTCATTGCAAATTATTTACCCCAGGTTACCGCATTAATTTCTGACAAGACTAAAAGGCTAAGATAAGTGATGCCATCTATGATGGTAAGAACGAGCATGATCATCGTGGCCTCAAGTTCTTGTAGACGGTCTACATTAAACATTGAGAGCAAAATCTTCACCCGAGTCCTGCTCAATCGTCTGAGCACTCATTTTGGAGGAGACTCTTCTGAAAAAGTACATATTCCACGAACACCAAGGAACAATGAGGATGGCCTCTACGGTTGGTTAACTTCAAGAAAAAGTACCGGGAAATACGGACTGGCGTTTGCACCGCCTTCACGGATCTAACCAAGGTCCTCGGTACAGTGAATCATAACCGACTCTGAGAATTCATGTGGAGATTCCGATGTGCAGAGAGATGCCCTCAATCGGTAAAACAGTCACACGACGGAATTATGGCGCACTTCATGAACAAGGAGCCGGTCTTGGAAGGATTCATGACAGCAATGGGGATGGAGCTGGGCAACGTACTCGCTCTCACCCTCGTCACTGTCATGTTCTCCATTTTGATGGACTTCTGCCGTGTGGAACGACGGGAAATCAGCATCGACCACCGAGCTGACGGATAGTTGCTCAGCATCTGACGCATAAAAGCATTTGAGAGTCTCTAGGGCTAGCGTCTACGACCTCTTGGCCGCAGATGACTGCGAGATGATTGCAATAGAGGCAGACATACAACGGGGTATCTGCCCCTTCGCCTTCGGCTGTTCTGACTGACAATCAGCGCGGAGATGACGGTGTTCGTGCACTACCGGCCGCCAAATGATTACTCTAACGAGCCAAGCACTAATGTCGATGGAACCCGACTTACGCAAGTGGACAAACTCTCGCATCTGGGGAATACGATTTCAAAAAAACCAAGATCAACATCGAGAGTGCAAATCGGATTTTTAAAGCCATCCAAACCTTCGGCCGGTTATGGCACTCTTTTTTGGAACCCCGTGACATCCTCCCCAATACAAAGCATAAAAAATATATAATTTTAATAGAGGGGGAACTTAGACTGCCTATGCAAGGAGACGCGACTATCCTCACCTCAACCGCCTTCGGAGAATACTGAGGGTGAAGTAGCAGGAAAGAATCTCAGGCATTGTGATCCTGGAAGGAACCGGTGTCCTCAGTATCCACATCACGCTGCGGTAGACACAACTGTCACATCGTGAGAATGGACAACGATCGCCTGACCAGACAACTGCTCTACAGTGGCATCGCATACAAGAGGTGCAAAGACATCGCTACAAAGACACCTTGAAGACCTCGCTCAGGCATCTGCAAATCAACCCTGGGACCTGAGAGGACCTCGCCCAAAATCGTCGGGCGTCTGGGGAAGTAATCCACGAAACCCAGCGCGTCGAAGAGGGGAAAACTAAATACTGAATACGTTGGTTCAGTGTTACAAACACCCAATACCTGTCATTGTGTCCGCATTGTAAACGGTAATTCTGTGTAGGGATTGATTTCGTTGTACACCTGCGGACCCCGTGGTGTCGATACGACTAATCCACCATTCATTTCACAAGACACTACCGCAAAAATCACCTGTGAGAATATCCCTGTAATCCTGACCACCGCCTGCACCACTTCCCTTCCATCAGTCCTGTTCTAACACTACTGCCATTGTACACTTGAATTATGCACCGGCGTGGTCGTCCAACTACGACTGGGAAGCTAGTACCTGGAGTCCCCGGCATACGTCTCACACACGCCACATCCGTCCTAGGTACCCAGACACTGTATGGCCGTGAGCGCATATACAAAAGTGGGACCGCCTCTATGCCTGCACGGTCAACCAAACTCACACTAGAAAACTCCTCTGCCGCCGCCGCCGCCATCACCACCACCACCACCACCACCACCACCACCACCACCACCACCACCACCACCACCACCACCACCACCACCACCTGGTAATTGTGGAGTAGGGAGCACTTTGTGTGTGGCAGGCGCAGACGAGCTGCTTGCCCTTGTCAGTCGCTGCGGTCGTGACCTTGTCATGACATCGGAAAATGATGAGTGAGAGGTGGGTGCGGCAGATATATGCTTCACACGTAGTTAACGAATTGTGGGCTCACCTGGAGAGCGGTTGACATCCTCGTGTGTGATTGTCTAACTGTCATCCTTAAGGTCGTAGTCGCATGCGCACGCGTCACAAAGTTAATTTGTTCCGGCTTTCAAAACCCAGATTGGCAGTATTCCTAGTTAACATAAGCCACGGTTAAGCGGAACATAGGGTGGGTTCAGGGGACATTCGTTCAGGTATGGAAGACGAAAAATGAGGGGTGGAAATGAGTCAGGAGAGTCTTACGGAGGAGTGGAGTCAGTAATTTTTTCCGACAAAGGCAAGGACGCCGACATGGTCGCTTTAACTTTATTCGCTGTCAACTGTCAGTGACACCTCCATCTAGAGCTGCGTTTCTGAGCCTTGGGACCCAGTGAATTGCTAATCAAATGACGCCCTCACCTCTGCATTAAGGATTTGCATCATGCTGATTGCGTTCGAAAACATTGAACTAGATGGGGGTGGCATAAACCGATCAATACACAGATTGCAGGACGCAAATAAGCATTTCTACTTAACCACGACCTAAGGGCACACAGACCAGATGGGAAAATGCTCGTTGCGCTGGAGTGCACATGTACCCGTGACGAAGCAAGCGCTGACGGGGGCCGCGTCGGTCTAGCTGCTGTTGGCCTTGTCCACTTTGGGGCGGCTGCTGAGAGCGCTGTTTTCGAGGTCTGGCGTTCGAAAGTCGAGCCGGTCAGCTGACAGATAGAGCCCTACCGGCCTGTTAGTTCTTTATGGTACTCCCACTCGGTTAGGATACGAGCGGCTCCCTCTGTTGTGAAATCTTGGTCGTTTGTGTGGCGGACCAGGGGGTGTTCTGGCACGCCTAGGTGTGGGTTCACGCCGCGCCGGTTGTCCGCGCCCCATCCCGCCCTCGGTCTTCTTGACTCTGTCTTGACACCGGGTCCAACCGGGGAGGAGAGAGTGCGGCAGATGCTGAGCACACCTATTATCACTTTAAACTAATCCATGCGCAAGTCACCACCACTCTGCTGTGGGGCACACGACGGACATTGTCGGAATCGACGGTCGAACTTCACATCATCTGATGGTCCTGACATGCACCATCGCAACAAAGCAGGAGGGGAGATGGGTAGCAAGTCACCTTCCGTATTCTGACCCGGCCGCGAAAACAAACTCACAGAGAACAAGACACTGACTAGGCTCACTCGAGCTACGTCGGTAGTCTGTCTGCGCGGCTGAACGGTAATTTGTACAATGCTGACCAGAAATAACGGCTCCTTCGTCTCTTTACGCAGACATCGTTAATGTTGTCAGGTCTGAAACCATTACTGGGCGAAAAGGAGTGGTCTAAGGGGACGTCGCGTGGATAGGACAGGTCCAGCAGTGGGATTATGCCATACGGAGAGCCGATTCAATTGGTAGAAGGGCCTAAGATCCACCGTTCTCATTGCAAAAGTCCCACGTTGGAGACAAAGACGCTGTTAGCGTCACATAAGGGCAGGCGGGTCGGCGAGATCTGCCCGCGACTGAGAGGAGCGTTGGTGACCGAGTCTGGTCGTGACGGCGGCTGGGAGGGCTGGTGGTGCGCTTTGCTCCCTGATTATCGTCCGCTAGCTTTTAGAACGCCTAGTTAGACAGACAGTAGGCGTCGACGGCTGCGAAACGTTCGGGTCTTACCACAGTTTCCAGACAAACAGTGTTTATTGGGTTTGGAAGTCGTTCCACGCATGTTCTAACACCGGTCCAGGATGTGAGGACAGCCTACGAGTGCGTGTTCAGTAGTTTCTGCCTCGGTGACACATTCTCTTCAGGCATAATTGTCGAGGCGGCCTTCCTTTTTCTGCTAGTCAAGGAGGTAGGGGCGGTTGCCAGTCTACGATGGATTACGCTTATCTAGGAAGCACACTTTTCTTCAGCGGGTGAATCGGCGACGGAGTGGCCCACCGGATCTCAAAAGTCAGTCAACACTTTGGTCGGCTGCAGAACTCCGTATGGGGTCGCCACGGCCTTCAACTGAACACCAAACTGAAGATGAAGATGGCTGTCGACTTGACGACATTTGTCTACGGAGCGGGACCCGGACCGCCTACTCCAACCATGCCAAAAAGCTCGACCACTTCCATCGTAGCAGCCCTCGCAGAATATTAAAGCCAAGATGGCAAGACAGGATGCCCGACATGGAAGTCGTACAACGGATTAGTATCCGCAGCATCCACACCGTGCTGAGGCAACTGCAGCTACGTTGGAGCGGCCATACCGCGAGGAAAGAAGATACACGCCTACCGAAACAACTCTTTTATGGTGATTTCGGCACCGGTGCTCGCCGACCGCGAGGACCAAAATGCCGCTACAAGGACACATTGAAGAATTCTCTTAAGCGATTGCATATCAGTCCAGCAACCTGCGAGGACACTGTTCAGAAAATACCGGCCTAAGGAAGTAAAGACTAGTGCTGCCATCTACGAAGCAAATCGGATCGCGTCGCCAAAGCCAAATGGGAGGCTCGCAAATCGCAAGTGCCTCGCCTCCTTAATGCCAACCATCCGCCGCTTCCAACATGTTCGCGCCGCCAACGAGCATGCCGCACGCGAATCGGTCTTGTTGGACACCTTCGGACCCAATGCGCCATCAACCCGACAACGTCTACCTATTCTCCCACGTTCGCTCCCTGCTGTAAATCCCGCGCTGACCGCCGCCCCGTCGCCACCATCCGCCCTGTCTCAACCCCCGCGTCTATTACAGCGACCAGCTCCGCCAACACCACGACAACTCGCTCTCCCCCCACCGATGGGACGATGTACGACGTCCCATCATGTGCTAACCCAACTGTAACCACGACATCAGGCAATGCTAGTAGGCATTTTCGGTTTTTTTCCCAACATCAGTAAGTACGCTAGACGGCGGCTTACGACTGTAGGTGATGCTCAAAATAGCTGTAGGTCAAACTGAAGTTCCGAAGTCTCGAACCACTACGCCGTGCGTCAGAAGTGCTCGAAGACGCCCGCCCTCAGATCCAGGATCTATGAATAACCATCGCTAGCTCATGCCAATATGTGAGAAAACTTAACTAGCGCCTTTTCCGGAGGATTTATGACTTGATTACGCTAAGAAATTCACCTTGGATCGAGTGTGAGCGGGCACAAAGTCACAAACTTAAAGGAAGTCTGTCATGGACAAGACGCTAAGACGATTTAATCAGATACGCCCACACTTGCCTGCTCGTATTTGCAAAGAGGAAAAAAAATAACTGAACATATAAAACCAAAATATATACGTGAGGTTGTGCTCGGTATAATTCTGTACAAGGGGAATTAATTGAAAAATCTAGCCCTAGCGGGCAGTTCAGTTGTCATCGTCACCGGCATAGGGCAGATTCGTGGTGATGAAGCTGTCAAGTCGGTTTGATGAGTCTGGTGATGGGAAGATGTTGGGTATAGTCATATGTTGCAAGCGAGTGTGATAAGGCATCGCTATGATTCCACAAATTTCGGCAAGTTCTTGGACTAGGAGAGGAGGGAGGGGGGCGGAGAGCCGCAACAAAATAAGGACGTCCACACCCTCCACTGATTCACTGCCTGGAGGCTGGAGCAGTAATAAGTGAGTAGTGAATAGAGAGCAGAATTTAAGAGAACAGGGAAAATAGAAGATCTCAGGTGGTCAGGGTGGGTTCTCGGCTGGTTACTACCGCGTGACCAGACTTCCCAAAAGGCATGAAGGTTCGCTCTACCCACATGTTTCGGGAGGGATCATAAATCTCGACGCTGGACAGAAACTCGTTTCCATCATAGCCACCTGTAGGAAGAAAAGAAGAGTTTAAGTGGCCGTGGGGAGCAGAAAAGGTAGTAAAATGGACCTGGACGAAGGAACGACAAAGATAGCGAGAACCATTAATTGACTACTAGGATGTACAGAAACCAAACCGCCCAAAAGTCTCAGCTTCGAATGCACACACTAAACGCACCGACGCACACGTATAGTCGTTTTTCCGTCAAAATCGACGAAAACCACCATCACCACGGATGATATGTGGTGACTTGCATCCGAATTAACCTATAACACGAGCACAGCATCAGTCTTACTCCTCCCGCATTCTTGGTCCCAGAGGAAGGATGGTCAAGTCACGTGACGGATCAATTACGTACCGACTGGGTTGTGAATATGGGCTCACCGGGAACGGATTTATTTAAACGCTGATTGTATTAACTAACCTCCTCCATCCCAGCAGCGACGGTTGCGAGAGCTTTGGTTGATCAGGATTGAAGTGTTCGCTATGACTTCCTACACTGTATTGTGGCTATCAAGTCTGGCGATACAACAACCTTTAAAATAATTGGACTAACTTAAGTCAAAGTCTTCGGGGTCTAATGTGGTTCGATAGCCCCACCTGAAGTAAAAAAAAACCCTGTCACCTCTAATACGGGACCTGTTTTTACAGGTGGGGTTGGGGAACGCACCGGCGGTGAGGTCGAGTAGTTGTATGCAAAAGAAAAGCTACTAGACGTGCACGGTTGTACTTTGAATGGGTGGAAAATAGTTGCGCTAACCCCTAACCCTAACTCTTAACCCCAACCCCAACAGTGTTGTGTACATCAGGTGGGGCCACCAAACCACATCTTACCGTCTTCGAAGCATTGCATTTAGGTTAAGATGCGTGTAGACATTAGGCAAAGAGTGCCCTGATAGCAGTTGACGATATTTTCAGACTGTTAGATTGGATTGGAGTGAGCACTGGGCGATTACTGTGCTGAATTTTTAACTAAAATGTATGCGAATAGTTCGGCGAAACTGAAAAAGTCATGAACAGGCATTACCAATAAAGATGAAAAGGACTAAGCTGGAGATTTCTGGCCGGCCAAGTGAATTCGCAAATTGGGTCTGGGCACAGGTGGTTACTGAGTTCGGGATGGACATACTTTCACTTGGCTTTGTTTGCAACAGGAACCTCCCCGCCCCCCAATTATTGATTGCTCTTCGTTGTGTGACCGCCAGTGAGGGTGCCAGACAGGAGCTCCAGGGCGATGCGGAAAGTCAGTACTCTGTCCTGCAAACAGGCCTGATCGGCGAACGCCATTCCCACGCTAAGTTGCAACACCCCGTCCTAAAAGTCCGTGCTGTAAGTTCGGATTAGGTTACACACTGCATTGCATCAATCACGTCGGCAGTTAGTACGCTGGGATGAGGAGTGCTGACGGCACTTAGACAACCTGACTGTCACACGGAGTCCTCGCCTCGAATATGTGCAGAAGGGAATGGGTGCAGGATGGATCTTGAGCTTTCGAAAAATCAGACCTTTCCTTCGAGAGGTATATCGGGCCAGCTGTGTGAATGTTCTTTTTCCGCACAAACTGACATATATATATTTTGTTAGTGAAATAAATGCATTTGTCTAGGACATTGTCCCAACTCTCGTTTGAAGGGCCCTGTGGATTTTCGGGGGGAGGGGGGGGGGGAGGAGTACTCATACGATATGTCCTGAGAGGTTTTTAAAGTTTCGATGTTAGGTGTGATCTGTCGCAATCCGCTATCTGAACATTCCCCAAAAAAGACCTGTCGAAGCAGGGCGTGGGCCGTAATGCGCCCCGACTGCAATTAAAAAGATCTTTTTCTTAAGTGGATTCGGGGTTTTTGATTATACGGCATGACATGGCTTCTAGGGCTAACTAGACACCGTCCTTTGCACCTGACTCCAATTAGAACCAGGAGGTGTGGTGGGGGTGGAGGATTCAAATTAACTGTCGGTAGACTTTAGGTGATCGTGTCATGTGAGGTTTTACCTTGGCATCCATTTGCACACAGTACACCGCCAACAAAAATCACTTCCATGACCTCACACCATCACTTCAACTCCGCAATTCTTTGAAAATTTGCTTCTTGTTTGTTTTTAATTACAGCGCTCATTTTCGTGGCCATGCGGAAGCGCACGTTAAGACTCTCGGCAGAAATCTAATCCCCACATTTTCTTGCATTATGTCAGCTTACTGTCTGGCGTGCTTTCCCACCCTTAAAACCCCATTGCCATCATTACCCTATGAAACGATCCACAGTCTACCGAAAATTAAGTAGGGTCCTTCACCCTAACATTGTCGAGCCAGAAACTATGTAACTTTGCGTCACTCATGACAAAGCCCTTCCTTTTCTTTGCAAACAGTACTACTCTGTTGTCAGAAGCCATCACAATGCAAACAGTAAGCAAGTAATGTTCTTGTATCCGGTGGAGGGGAGACAGATGACAATTGACACGTGGGTGTCCCGATCAGCGATGGAATTTAGATGGTTGAAAATACCATCTAATAACTCGAAGGCCCGAAATTAAAGAACGATCCGCAGTCCACCTAGTAACGGCCCTTAGGGGAACTCATCTGAACCGTATATGCATAAATCGCAGCAAGGCTCTGTGAAACTTCGGAATGGCAAGTTCGGCACTACTGCAGCGATTTAGCACATACAAGACAGTCACCTAGTTCAGTAGGAGAACTTGCAAATAAACGAATTTTCATTAAATAACACAGTGACTTAAGGCAGGACTAAGAGACTGCCAAAAATGCGCTCACCGAAAACCCAGATTTTTCCATTGAGAACTGAAGCACTGAGTGCAGACCGGGGATGAATCATGTGGGCCATGTACTCCCATACATTGCACTCCGAGTCATAGCGTTCCACGCTGCGTAATTGACTGAAAGAATCGTAGCCGCCGACAGCGTAAATGTGATGTCCAAGTCCTACCACACCTGAGGTACAAAATGCAAACCATCTCTCAAATTAGCAGTGTGTCTCAGAACGATTAAATATTATTTGAAACAGAGGAACTATACTCAAGTTAGGCAGTCTAACTTTGTGTTGAGGATGCGCGGCTGGCGACCCAGCCTCGCCTTTCAGACAAAAGTGTCATGCTTAGCTGCCAGCTCCCTCCACTTGACCTCAGAGACGAGCCAGACAGGAAGTACGGAGACAAATTAATGTAACTGCGCCAAAAGTAAACAGAACCGCTCACACCTCGGCGACTGAGCAAGGGCTAGGCACACTATGGCAAATGGCGGGGAAACCGAATGAAACACGTCTAATGAACCGGAAGTATCAAAAATACGCCTTCAGGCAACAGACAGGAAGTCTGAGGTGAAATACGACAACAATTGAAGGCGATCTAGTCCCGGTCTTCTATGGGGGAAAGGGATACGTCCGTGGCCAAAGCAAAATAGGCGTTTGGGAAATATCTGAAGTCTGATTAGCCTTCGCGGCAGGCTAAAGGACTACTCGGGGTCTGATAAAGAAAGCCAACGACAATGCTCGCACATAGCTAGACTTTTGACTTTGTTTTAAAGTGGCGAAGTAAATACCGCCTCATTCGCGTTCTGCATAATCATTATCATCAAAAAGCAGTTCCTGCCTCTACCTTAGTTCGAGTGTTTAGTTCGACATAACAGTAGGTTTTAAGATTGTACTCTTTTTTCAAACAAGACGACAACTATAATTCATTGTGGCAAAAATAGTCTGACTGAGTTCTTTTTAATGATAAATCTTGTGCCAGCGAAGGAGAATCTCAAGTAATTGTACATGATCTATTAGTTAAGGCATTTGACAACGTATGAAAAAACTCCATGGGTGTTAAGTCCAAGAGTTGGGCAGAAATTTTTTGGGCTAAACCCTCAAAATAGGATTACCGATTAGGTTTATGATGATGATGCAAAAGAAACTGTGGTTCAGCAAAGTTAGGGAGGACGGTAATCAGCCGACACCGATAAACAGAGACTGCGATTCTGCTGTACGTATGGATCCGTTACCCCTACTCGATGAGGAATAACACTGTCGCGAGTTAGGGAGACAGTGATGGATTGCATGTGCACTAGCTTGATGTGGACTTGCAAAGAATCAGCCTCGCTATCAAGTTTCGTACTTTTTAGTGGAAATATGGGATCGAGGCGACTGGAGATGGGTCTCTGCGCAGTAACTGTGGGAGTTGGTGTCACGAATTAACGTGTCACACTCGTCCTAATCCGTAAATTCGCGTGCATCAGGCTTCAACGAGAGGTTTCGCATCTCCTCTGGAACGCTTTACCCCACATGACACGAGCCGTCACAAAAAGATCGACAGATTTTGACTACAAAGTTTTGCGGCATTTGCAGTAAATGGAACATATACCGGTGCACTAACAGTTGCTTACTGAGAATGTACTTAATAGTTATCTGCAAAATCAATCGTTTTATGTTGAGCGACATCAATCAAGCCCGTCTACATTCAACCTCAACCTTAAAAACTGACTACTTGGAAGCGAGAAGAGATGTCGGAGCTCGCTGCTGATAAAATTGAGGAAACTCGGCTAGCAAACCATAAATCGCTTTCGTGTCTTCTCTGGTTGCTGCAAAGACGATTCGAAATTGACAGCCCACAGCACAGACCATAATTCAGCCATACCTGCTGAATGTTTTTCCTCCATTACCCACTTCGAAAACAAAACCCCTCGATGTGCATGCTAGTGACAGAACGAAGCACCTCCTCTAGGAGTCCCGCTGTTGGTACGCCACCTCACTACTGAGACAGGTGGTCTAGCGACCTGAGTCTGGGTCAAAACGCCACACTGAAGCGCTGTTTAGCAATAAAACGAAATTGGGGTGCCCTCTTAAGGTCCGCGCACGCACACCTTTATGTGGTTCACATCGGCTCGCAAAAACAGCCCGAAAGCCTTTTCTGCCTTGCTACAGAGAGAAGGGCGCTATTCTCACAAATATGACTGCAAAATTTGAAGTTGGTGATCCTCGCGAGTGATAAAGACCACTGGTGAGCCCATACTCACTCTCAAAGTTCAGGTACTGTGGGGTTGTGAGTATGCGATACTTTTCCAGCCGAGTCATGTTCTTCCAGGAACTGCGCTCACGAGACCGGCTGAGAGCTTGGACAGTGTTGCCTCCGATCACGTTCTCGGATAGCGGATCTCGTAACTGCAGCCCCTTGTCGGGTTAGATACTCGCGAAGGTAGGAAAGTAGCGACGATGTTGTGAATACTTCCAGTCATTATCGTGGGGCAAGCGTGATGAAAAAAATCGCTTGCTCGTGACCACTAGAACTTCCAAAAAGAGGGTCCCATAAGAACTGCGGTCACATGCAGGTAGGGGGGCCTGGATAAAGCGCTATGAGAGTGGCCGAGATAGGCAATGCATGTGAATGCATACAGTTCAGTGCCCAGTCCTGCCTGCTCGGGACTGTTCCGGTGCCCCATTTTCCCGCGTCTGACTGTCAGTTGCCGGCCGCGACAACCGTGCTAACCTGCAGACATACCGGTAACACACAACCACTTCTCAGGCTTGATCCGTGGTGCCCAGTCACGGCTGTGCCCATGAGCAGACTCCACCGGCCGGCGTAGCTTGACTCCTGGGGTCCCGTGATCATGGAACCACCGACTCAGTCCATGTCCAAGCCATTTCCCATGAGCACGCGGACATGTCAGATTCGCGCAGACACACACTGTTACTCACGTACTCCCGAACGAGCGCCCTGTCCTGACCCACAATTGCCCGCCCACGGCAACCTGCCCTGTGTACAGAACGAACTAACTCTCACAGCTCTCGGGCTTCTGTCATTAGCAGGGACGAAAACTTGGTGTGATATCCTTCACCGCCACATTCTTGTCAGAGAGTAGCAGGAAGCGGATCGACTCTAGCATGGCCGGACAGACATGCACACGGGGATAACTGTCTGGCTGGAGTGCACTGGTGTTTACACACACACACGCACGTCTGGCGACGGCGGCGCTGCAGCCCGACCGCTTGTGTCTGCCACCAGCCGGTCTGCGCGCGTCGACCGCGCCCGCGCCCGCGCGCGCTCGCGTAGCCGATCGCGCCGAGGAGGATCGTACAAACGTCAACACGCGAGCGCCGTCTTCCCGCCTACCTGAAATGTGCGAACGAGAGCGCTGGTCGCAACACAGTCTGGTGTCTGTCGGCCAAAAAAATACCTTACGCCCGGTCGGTCTGGACGGAAGCTGGAATTTGGAATCTGAAGTGCCGGACGGAGGATAACCGTGCTGCGGCTAGGAGACCCTCAAGAATCACACAGCTGAAAAAAATTTCGGAACAGCCTTAGTACACACTGTCATCCTTTCTCACATCTACCGTACTGGTGCCGACTTTGACTGCCCAAAAGGGCGCTAAAGTTTGAAATGGGCTAGGAGAATCTAACCAGTGAAGTTTTCACAACCCATCTTTCACAGTGTTTCAGTAACGTAGTTGCCTTAGAACTCGACTGACTAGTCTACAGATATTGTAAGTGTTAAATTTGCATCGCGATATTAAGGGAGAGCTCAAAAATTTAGTTTTCGTTCTGCTGAAGATGCGTCGTGAGTCTCCAGGCAAGCATAGCTTTCAGCCCACGTAGAAAACGTGGGGTGAACGGAAGGATCGAGGAATCTAAACTCGCATAACTTTATTGGCGGAGGATTTGCAACCGATAGCTGCATGGAATAATGGTTATAGGCCGAAAAAAGCATTCAGCAAAGCAAGTGCTTTTAATTTTGTCGGAAATACTGGTGTCATTCGCAAGCGAGTCCGTCTGTCAGCATCTCGAGCCGCGCTGATAATTTTTTGGAGTATATTGTGGTCAAAGTGCCCAAAGTATGGCAGCTGGTGATCAATGTGAGAGCACACTTTAGAAGTTGACACTTTGCCGCGTATAAGGGTGGTGCAGTTATTGATCGTACTAGGGCTACCAAAGCAGGCCAATGACGGAAGACGTAACGGTCGAATCGGCTCGTCTCATAGTTCGATGCGTCATGGCAGTTAATCACGAATGTAGTTAAGATCCCAACTGCCGACCTGGTACGACTGAAAGTCCCTACAGGAGAGGGAACATGGAGCACTACTAAATACCGCCAGAGGCAAAAGAAAAACAGGGAGAAGAAAGCTGCTTTTTCCGCACCCCCCCTCCCATCTCTACACGTAAATTATAAAGAACACAGTGGCGGATAGGATGGTAGCAACATTTGCTCTTGAAACCGAGGGTGAAGCGTTAGGATGACAAAATGGAAAGCTGTGATCATTTCCGTTCATCTCCTGACCCTATAATCACTTAGCCTCATACTTGGCGGATACAGTTGACTGTCGTCCTCTGATCGAAAGAAATAAATTGTGAATGTTCCAGGGTAGCCATCCCTAATAGCCGCTTTAGAGGATTTCTCGAGAATCCGGGCAGTGTCGAGCGGGGATTATTCGGCAATAGTTAGTAGCATGACTAAAAATATAATTATAGTAGTAGCCTGCATTTACTACCCCCCTCCCTTATTTTAATGTTAGGGCTTTTGGGCAGACTACAATACGGAATTCGGTTAATCATGCAGTAATTTCATGGTGTTTTAAATCCCCACTGAACAACAGAATATGTTGTCTCTCTCCAGTAGTAAACAAGTTGGGGACTATTTGCAGACTCGGATTAAGGTCTCGGTTACCCAGGAAATTTCTTAATAGAGCCATCGCTTCCTACTAATGTACACTTACGACATGAGTCGTTTAACAGAGACATTATGGTGCTCCAGAAGGATAGCAGATGAAGTTAATGTTGGTAATAGTTACGCTGAATTGTGAGCCGGGACGAGGGGTTCCCTCTTGCCTAGTTGTGTTCAGCCCAACGAATCCGCAGGTAGCGAATGGTTGCATGATCCTCGGAGGGGACCCGCGGAGCCGGCAGTCGCGAACCTTGCAACGATAATACCTTGAGGCCGGACACCGATCTGGACAGTGGCTTACATGTCGTTTAAAAGAGGTTCAAGATATGGTGAGTGTTGGCCGCTACCCAAAAGGGTTTTATTCGCCACCGTCCGGCTAAAATTCAGAAAACCATTGCTCCATCATACTGTCCCAAGCGACCGCGTTCTGACATTACACGATTTGGCCAGGTTCCTGGAAAACTAGGGTGCTATGACCGTAAACTGGACCGTCTAGAACAGTTCTGAGAGAGCAGAGGGAAGAGGCAGATTAAGTACCTAATTTGGTGCTACCTGCGGGAAAATAATTGAAATCCGTCAAATGGATTTCGCCTGCAATTGATCATAGCACAGACACGACTAGAGTTTTGTCAATTCCACCCCCCCTCCCCCACAACAATGCCCGCGTCGAACTAGTTTCTCGGCGTTGTTTACAGTTTGCCCTCTCCCCTGGGGGGGGGGGGAGCCTTGTCAGAACTTTGTTGTGGGGCTCAACGCTTAAGACGAACTTGCGCGCGGAAATGCGAACGCAGATTGCTATGACCCAAGGTCACAGCGACGACACCGACGGCGCAGCAGTACCCCGACCTCAAAAGGCTGCTGGAGCAACAGAGTTAGTTTGACACTGCGCTACTTCGAGGACGTAATTTATCAGCTAAAAGAGCACACTAACAGCGCACGCACTTACGCAAGCGCGACGCCAGTTGTCGGAGGATCACACACAACGGTAGGCACTCTACTGCTTTTGAGGCGAGTAAATACTGTTTCGGAAATGTGCATTTGTGTGTACATTGGATTAGAGGGAAGGTACTGTGCGACATGGCTCCTACTCTCCGCAATCCATTCTCAGTTGGTTCCAGTGGTAAAACGCAGTCGGGGCACTAGAGATGAGCGAGGGCACAGGCTCGTCTAAATAATAAAACAGACTTCATTCTGAGTTTGGCGCAACATAAAAGGGAAAGGATCAGACACAAGCCCACGACAATTAAGTCGCCGTAATTGCCGATGGCTAGCTTCATATGATTACGTCTGGGTGCAAAGAGTGTCACTCCAGTGGTCGATATTACGACGTATTCAGTTTACCGAGGAGCCGAGTCCTGCTTCTAACTGCATGGTTCGAGTGTTTACGCTGCTGTTGGGCGGAAAACCATCACAGTAAGCGATTGGAGCTTGGGTGGACGTCGGGAAGGTGCGATACCACAAGAGTCGGGGCGTAGTAGACAGTGAAGGGCCATGAGTTGTGGTTTGCACCCAAAACGGACCACGTGGTAAATGTGCCGGACCAACACGGGGGCTGGATCGGGGTCCGACCAGCGTTATTCGAAATGTGTACCTATAACCAATGCCAACCTTGGGGGTGTGGCGGCGGCACGCCCAGGTGCCGGTCTACGCCATGGCGGCTGGGATCCGAGCTGCCCTCTTTTTTCCTGTTGCATAAAATCCTGGTACGTTGTGTACCAGGGGGTGTAGTGGTGCGGGTTTTCGCCGTGCCAGCCCCCTGAGTCCTCTCCCGCCTCCTGTCTTTTTGATTTTGCTCCGATACCGGGCTCAGATGAGCGAGGGGGGACAGAGAGCGGTAGATGCGTCGAAAGTCTACTATCACTATAAACTAACTCGCGCGCAAGTCGCCACCCCTGCTCCCACCATACTGTGGACCAAACGGTGGGCACCGTCAGAAACGACTGGGCTAGGTCGCAGTTGGTAGCCAGGAATGGAGAAGCGGGCGGCGACTTTGACCCTAACCCTAACCTCAACTTTAAACCTTAACCGCTAACCCTAACGGCAACCCTGACACTTACCCTCATCGAAATCGTAAACGTAACCGCAGTCCTTAGGCAGCCCCGTTACTGAAAAACCTAACAGTAATACTGAAACCTATTCGTACGCTCAAACTCGAACCGTAACCCGAAAACATAAGCCTAAAGGCATAAATCTAACCCGAAACTCCGAAACCATTAACCGGTATCATAATCCTAACGTCAAACGTAAAACGGGAACCAAATGGGTCAGGTGTGGTTATGGAGCCCCACAAAATAGCCCCAATAAGCAACCCCCCCCCCCAACCACCTGCGATACAGGGCCAGGCTACCAACTGCGATATAGCCAACGACTGCTTAACTGTCATAAGTTGCAGTTACGTGCAGCGTGCGTTGCATCGAATTTAGGAACTGCTTGATCGAAAGCTCCATTCCGATGTTCCCTCAGTTAACGCAAAAGATGTGGCCCGAGCAGACGAACCGGCATTGTATAACCGACGCTGTGTGTAGTTCTGTGAACTTGAGTTATGTAAATCTTGAGGTTGGGGTGTTGCGGGCTGTAGTGGAAGGACTGGTCGGAGAAATAATGTCGGTCGAGTGGAGGCGGACACAAAGGAGCCCATACGGGACGAGCGGGTCCGGAAGGCGTCGTGGAAGGGGAAAAGGGAAGTCTTGTTACGGTTCTAATAGAGACCATCAAATCTGAGGGCGGACAGAGCCATCGGGTGGTCGAACTGGTTTACACGACGTCTGTCTTTCTCCCCCTCCTCCCTCCAAGTGTCAAAATATGATCAAGATTACAAGTCCTCGAGCTTTACCCGTAGAGATGTTCACACGTACTGCGCCGCAGCCTGTTTGTGTAGGCTTGTATCTTACAAGTCCTGTCGCAAATCCCCTAATACTGCCCTAGCAGCTTGAGAGAATGCTGGCATCTAATTTCAAAAAGACTGAGAGGCAAGCGAGATGCTGTTGCGGATGCGTACGCACGTTCGCCGTCTCCGACACCAGTGACAGCAGCGCGCTGGCCAACCCACCGGCATTCCGGAATCACGCCCACCCAGCGCGCGCGCGCACACACAATATTCGGTCCTGGCGGTCGCGGTGACCCACAAGGCACCGGCGGGAGTGGGGCGTTGTATGCAGCAGACGGTGGCCGTACCAGTCGCGCGAGCGAGCGAGCGCGCGCGTGCGGGCGGCGTCCAGACAGCGGAGGACAATCGCAGCAACCTCTGCGCCGCCACAATGGCACCGACAGACGCGCCTGCGCGGCGCGCGCCCAGACACCGACACATACACCACAGCCACCACCACCAGCGCTGCTATCCGCCGCAGTAGTGAGTGTGGCAACTTCCGGATAGATAGTGGGCGTAGACGGCGAAGGAGGAACTGTTGTGGACGAGAAAAGGTCGCGACTACGCACACACACACACCCACCCCGACCCACACACACGCGTGGGGAGAGATCACAGGAGAAAAACATTTTGGCCAAAAAAACTATTGATGTGAGCGCTCGCGCACTGTGCTGACTGGCATGGCGGATATTCCAGCCCGCAACAACGACGCACAGACTATACCTTAGAGCCCATTTAGCGCCGGTAGCGATGGCGTGCACAGGACGCAAAGGGAGACACGTCCTACGCAGAGTTCTCTATTTGTAATTCATTCGAGCTGTTGGTCAAGTGTACAAAAATGCACACTGGAGCTCCTATATGAGTTTTTTTTGGATAGAGAGCATTAAGAATGGTTGAGGTACACTAGTGAAACGTCAGTGGTGTAGATAATGCCGGCTTGCGCGAAGCGACCGACTAAACGCGAGCACCCCCGTGCAACTGGTAGATGGCTTAGAACAATTACCAACTAACCTTGACGTTAAATCCTCGGTCTTCCTTGCCTCCGGTTGGTGCACAACTGACTGAAGAGGGTGAATAAGCCAGATGTGGTTATATTCCAGTCTCCATCGTCTTCACAGATAACACTTCTCAATTACCGATTGTTCCGATGCGTCTCCATGACCTGCATAACAGGCAACTTTATCTCTTGACTAAGAAAGTCAAGTGAGCTTTTGGTGCAGATCGAGCCATGGAGAATGGCTTTTCGTCAGCACCCAGCCTCCCTTCTCAAACGCTATACCCGATCAGTATTTCCTCGGCCCGATTGCCCAGGAAGGATAGGGAAACTTAGAAAGCTAAACTAGTGAGAAAGGCGACTTGTGAACTGGTCATCCACCTTTGCATCGACTGGTGCAGTTTCGATATCACAAAGGGATTGTGAGAGCCGCCGTAGGCGCTAGACGGTTTGATAGGCCGCCGCGGACAGCATCACACAGTGCTCCGCGCCAGCAGCCGGCACGTCAAGACGCTTACTGGCGTCTGCGCCAGCAGGCTATATGCGCGAGCATGTGGCGACGAATAGAGAGGCTCGCGCATGGGGGTGGAGGGGGACGCTCGTCGAGAGACAATGACGCGTCAGCGTCATCATTTATAGTAGCAGCATCGTCATCGCCACAGCGCCGGCCTTGATGAGGTGCCTGACGCGAGTCAGAACACGGAACAGCTGTAGTGGCGGCCTATCACAGTTTTGATTGCATTCCCCTCAGAGTACGTCCAGCGAGGGCGACAGAGCGACGGTAATTACCTTGGTGCGCGACGAGCGATGATACGCAGCGTCTGTGTAGGCTGATTGTTTAGGTGTCTGTGTGTGTACGCCTGATACGGCGGAACAAAACATAAAACGCGCATCGTAGGAGTTTTGGAGACACATGTCCACAAAGCAGACATTTATTGTGTATAATGAAGGGCCAAAATGCAGGACGAGGGGGACGTGCTAAAACGCCTCTAATCGTCACTTGATGGAGGAGGAGGTGGTGGACAAGATCGCGAACGCCCGCTATGCACCGAGAACAAAGAACAGTAGAAATTGCAATAACAATACGGCGAGAGGGAAGATGAGACTCACCGGCGCCTGACCTGGGCCGATTAAGACTGGCAACCTCCACCCAAACGTCCGTTTCGGGATCGTAGCGTTCTACACTGGCCAGACGACGATCTCCATCAAAACCGCCAACGGCGTACAGCAATCTTGTGGGTAGGTGGGAAAAAACATGCTGCATGAAATTGGGGGCCTCCAAAATTAACAAAAAACACATGCCCTCCCCAGTTACTGGGCTCGCCGATTACTAGGAACATCGTACTTGAGGCGATTGGACTAGTAAATCAACAAGCGGTACCCCGCACACACGCACAAACGCCCATCAAAACAATATTGTCCACGATGTTCATTTCTGAAAAGAGCACTGGGGTTACAGGCATTGATTCAAAACCAGGACAGCGAGCTCCAAGCTCTCCGGTAGTTCGTCCTTCGCAGGGGACGAGGGTTGCCACTATTTGAGCAAGAATGATGACTCGGACTTCGAAAGACGTACACGGGATTCTTCACGTTCTCGCTCTCTCCTGAACAGGTTCCCCATCTTCCGGCGGAAATGGAACGTCGCAACTGACAAAGCCTGCCCCAAACGACCCTTCTTAAGCTCAATTCGACCAAACGTCATATGATACGTTAGAGAAAGGGTACACCTTGTCCTCACGGGTTGAAAACCACTAAAACACGAATCATGCGGAGACCATGACGGCTTAAATCCACAGCAGTTGGTCTAGAGAGGAAAGCATCCTCATTTTCCTCTCTTTATTCCAACGACCATCAGTCGCTGCAGGCTTCTGCAAGACTGACCAAGAATTTTAGACATATAAACCTACCATAATCACTTTTTGGTGCCATCCCGTAAACGAACCCCACTCCGCATAGACAGCTGTCCTTCACAGTCTGAAGGATCTGCTTCTGATTCCACACTTCATCGCCAGATACTCCCAAATTAAACTAGAACATGGGATCGGAAATATGGGGATGCTGAACTTGAACATATGCACTTGTGTATGCTAAGGCAGACAAAGGGAAACACGAAAGTGTTCTGGGTGTGAGAATTAGGAGCTAGATCCTGTCCATCCAGAGCTGCTGTCAGGCAATGTGGAACAGTCTAGCTCTACCCAAACAAATAGTTTGGTATTGTGTAGTGGGGACTGTTATGCTCCACTCTGAAATCCCGATTCGAATAAGTCAGTTCAATTTAGAGAATGTTTTTGAAATCGGGAGACAAGGTGTTTATTAAATGACTCCCGACGACAAGATTGACGAGACCAAAACGATTTGAGATCTGCGCTTATGACACATAGTTAGGGCTTTTCAGACCCTAGAGGCTATTCAGAGTAGGATGCTTGCACCACCGTCATGACTGTCAGATCAACATCAAGCAACAGGAATTGTTTTTTTTTTCAAGAATCGGGAAATCACCTAAGGGAGACAACAGCCACAAGTTCACTTGTTTCACAAATGCGGTCAGTCAGAGCTGAAAAGTAGGTACAACGTCTGCCTTTCAGTCACAGGACATCTTCCAGCAAGGCCACTGAATTAGGGCACTACGTAAGTTGATTTCTTGACCGTTCGAAAACCTGAATTTCTCCTACTTAAATATCGGCCAATATTTCTGCCAGGCCCTGGGAGATGCCGGTCTTGTGATGGATTTGTGAAAAAAACCGATGTGCGAATGAAAAAGAATGGAAACAATGATCGGATACTCACCTATTGACAACGGCAACTCCGAGACCGACTCGCGGATAGTGCATAGGGGCAATCGGAGTCCACAAATCGAGGTCAACGTCGTACCTGGATTAAGGGGAAAGGGTTCAGGATGAAAAAGGAAACGACAAAAATAAACAAAAAGGCGTGAGGGATGGAAGAAAGGCCAGGAGAGGTAAGTTGGCAAAAAAGAGAGGATAGGGAAGATTGAAGAAGTAAAGAGAAATAAACTGCCGACGGGAAAATGTCCCCATAAGTAGATGGAAAGTCTGAAGTTCTGATGAAAATGAGGACCCGGCTTCACTCTCTATGAACCCGGGAAAATCTAGACAGTGAAGGCTTCATGCTCACTTTTTATCTGGCCACTACTTTGCAACGCCCGTCAGACTTATCGAGGACAAGCATGGGATGTAAAATGTTCGGCAGATTCATTATGGGCGTCACTCAATAATCCAGCTAGCACATACTGAGGCAGAAGCAAGGGTGAATAAAACCGCGCAAGGTAGCAGATAAGGCCGTAACTAAGTTGCAATTGCAACAAACCACAGTGGAATGGGCGGTATCAGGGTCCACGGTCGGGTCATATCATCCAAAAGGATTAATTCCGCGTCCAAGTACAAGGCGTGATGAAAGCTTACACCTGTGGATGATTACAGAGAAGAAAACAGCTGATTTAGAGACTTGAGGAGACGAATGGTCAACGATCGAATATTCTGACTAGCGGCGTGTGACGGTACATTCTCCGGTCGGGCACAGGAACATGGACCCTCCCCCCCCCCGCCAGTACGGTAGGTGATCCCGCAATAAATTCCTTACTGTTCCCGACCCCGTGTCCTAACTTTAACACCAACACCAGACTTAATACTAACACTCATGAACCTAACCCTAATCCTAACCCTCTTGATCCTAATTTCCTTTGGAACCTAGGACAAGGCCAACCGTAACAAGGAGGTCCAGAATCTCGTGTTAAAACCTATTCTCTAAAACAAAAAGGTTCCAGCTCACTGGATTCAGCCAATTCAAAGCCGAATCTTTCGAATAGAAGCAAGCATCCGATCGTTCCCCTGATCCAGTCCGGTTTCTGTTTCTATTGGGCACCTTTAACCACTGGGCGTTGACAACTCGAACTACTCACCACATCACCAAGCCCTCAAAAGTGTGGAAGATGTCTCAGATCCAAATTGAGAGAGTTTAAAGAAGAATTGGTGTGTTAAACGCCACACCTGAAGGGTCAACAAGGCGCTGACCTTACTGAGGACATATAAAAAATCTTAATGCCAGTATTTAGGTTTTCTATTGTGGTGGATTTGAATAACTACCTCAGTGTAATTAAAATAATTATACAGGTATTAGGGCGCTAAATGGAGATATTAGAGTTGGTATCGACAGAGGTTTCTCACGCACGTAGGGGGTAATCTTGGCCAAAAGTAAAAGCCAAAGAAAGAGAGGAGGGGGAGGAAGTCAGTGGCCCGGGAGATGGCAGGCCAACACTTACTTTTCGGCCGTCTTGTGATGGGTCGTGCTGGTCGAACCTCCTACGGCGTAGATCATATCATCAATGACACCCACAGCCACCCGATTGCGTGGCACCGACATGGGGGCACAAGTGCGCCAGGAATTAGTGGCCGGGTCGTAGGAGTCCATGTGCGGAGCGTCCACGTTGCCCTGCTCATTGTTGTTCCGGCCACCGACCAGGTAGACACAGCCGCGCACAGAGCAGGCTGCCAGACCGCTGCGCGGACTCGGCAAGTCGGGTAGTCGGTGCCAGGCACCAGTGCTATGACAGTAGGCCTCAAATGTGCTTAGCGAGTACCGCAGGTAGCCACCGGCCGAATAGACCATCTGACGGAGCCGACAAGGAAAAGAGAACGAAAATACATGTGCGGCGTCGGAAGCAGGTAAGGAGTTAGCGTTGACAATATGCGTAAACAGAGCACGTCCCCTAACTTGATCGGCAAACACCCACCCTATGACATCGAATATCCCAAATTAACTCACGGCCAGCTCGTGGCTCAATTGGTAGACTTAATAACGCATGATGACAAAAGAACGCGGGTTCAAAACTCCGGTTCCGTAAGAGCTGGGGTTGGGCAAGGTTGATGAATGTCGACTAATAAGCCAGAAATGGCCATTCAAGTCTCCCCTGTCTTTGTCGGTGTTTATTCCAGGCCTAGAAAAGAGTAAGAGTAATTAATCAATTCCCGAAGAAGTCTTGGTTTAGATAAGACGAAGAACGACTTCGACTATGTAGGCGAAGAGTATACTGGTTTGAGCCTTTAGGTTCTCGCAAGAGTCCATCGTCCGAGACAAGGAAGATAATACCACATGAACAACATTTACAGCTAAATCGTGGGTGAAAAATGCCAGATAAACTGCTAAATAATCAAATCTCGTTTACCAGATTCTATGTCTCAATCACCCTTGAAATTGCACGGGTCAAACTGGACGAAGAGCGGAATCACAACTAATCAAACGAACTGGCGGTGGGGAGAAGAGATCGGATGTTTCCAGTGACCGACCACAGCCTTAATGAGCGCCAAGAGTTCAGCTACGCAGGCACGCGGGTCAGCCGAGCTGCCCAGAAGGTAAAGAGGGTTCTATGGTCTTAAACAAAATCCGCTAAACTCCACACAGATCTCCCATCGGTGCATAGGGTCCTAAGAGTACGTTTCCGGAGTCTACACCGAGCCCTGATTATTAAAAGAGACTGAAAATATCTTCTAATTGCTGTTTATTTTGTTTATGGACTTCTGCAGTTTAGAAGCCTCGACTAAAACTCAATTTACCTCAGTGGTCAAGCTTCCTTTTTCGTATTCTGCAGAATAATTCTAGAAATTACTGTTTGATCAAATTCGTCTTGGACGAGGTACTTATATAAGTTACTTACGGAGTGTCAGTTATGAGCACTAAGCGGTAATTTCGGCGAAGCCAACACTAATGCTTGCCAAGGAACTTGGATGAACACGCGCATTCGTGTTCCGAATACCCTGTTCCAGTTGCGCTCAGTTATTTCCGGTTAATTTCTAAAGTTAGAATTTGAAATGAAGCCAATACTAAAAAGTAAACGTACGGACTCACTAAACCTACAGCCACATAACGATACCACCGAAAGCGCTCCTATCGTGTGCCTGTGCTTTTGGCCAGTAAGTTACTCTGGATTAAAATACCTTCAAATTTGCAATATAATCGAACGGCTTGTACTGACAAACATCGAGCGACTGAAATAGGTACTTTCGGACGTACTATCACCGTTGGCTGCGCATTCGGCGACGGAAATCAAACTTTGTTTTGCAGCCCTGGACGAAAAAAGTTTACAGAAAATGATTTTGATTTCAGTTGGCGGAGAACCGACAAGGGCAAGGGAGACCGGGATGGTCATTTCCGACTTAACCGTCGACAGTCAGCCCAACCTAACCGCAGGCTTGTCGGACGTGAGAATTTTACTGAAACCTACAGTCAACACAACGGCTGGGAGGACCTTCACATTTACCAACTGAAGCTACAATGTTGAGGCGGGCTCGAGAATGGTAGCGTAGCTTGGTGAGACAGATGGAATAAATTGTGCACTGACGACTTCTCCCCACCAACTACGTGAACTGGCAGCAAAGTTAATTACTGCAAGTTCATTCGTTGCATAGCTGGAGAACCACCACTGCCTGGGGAGCAGTGTGAACCAGTTTAGAATGGAGGAGGCTTTCGTAGCATCTAAATGACAACCATCATGTTCTAACGGCACCACACACTACAGGCGAGTGGGGATGGGCGTGAAAGAGGTGGCCAGGGGCGGTCAAAACTACATGTACGCGTGTCACACACGTGCTGGTTCCCAACTCAATACGGGTCGGTATCCAATGAGAGGGTATGAGAACTCACACAGGTGTGGGAATGTCGCGAAGACCACGGTAGGAAGGAGCCGGTACAGACTGACCTTCAGTTAGATGCAGGACTGGATTGCACTGCTGTATGTAGCAGTTCTCTAAGTCACGAATTCCGACACATAGTGAAGTTAAGACGCATGAGGTTTGTCTATAGCGAGGATAGTATGTGTTGGGTAGGTTTCCTTTTCACTCCTCCTCCTCCCCCTCACTAATATATCAGCGACATTCCCGTGTCAAATCGACCGGAGGTGAGATCGGACGCAGCATCGGACGTGACACAAAGTCGCTGTCCAGACATGCCTCACGTGTGCTGGCTGCTATAGGCACACTAACCAGACGTAATGGAGGCGGGCTAGAAAAGATCGTCAGAACAATTCTTCGCTGAGGTAACCTCCATATGGCAAGCTTCTACGTAAACTTAGTGGTCTAACCCCCTGCATCGACTGTACACAATTTGGCAAACTACCTTGGCAGCAAGGTCTGGCCATCCTTTGACCTCCAAGATTCCGTGTGACCCCGTGTCCTTCCAGAAGAACTTATCGATGTAATAATGAAAACATACAACATGAGGGAGACCGGGGATGGCGCTGCCTTCGCTGAAATTTATAAAACCTGAGTCGGAAATCTGAAGTCGTGAATGTAGATGACTGAATAGGCGCGGGGAGAGTAGGTAGTACCAGAAAACTGGAGCTCGACCATCTCCAGATCAATGTAGATAGAGGCAGATAAGACGACGTGCAGAACTTACCGTAGCCGGCCATGCTGAAAGACTCTCTCCTTACCAACACTTTCAGTTATTTTATTGTCCGCATGATAAGAGAGCAGGACAATCCAGACGAATGCCAAGCTGAGCGCGGATGCGGCAACCAGAGTTATACAATAGATAATCAATGACTCATAACTTCGCTACAGTGCCCGGCTTCGTTCACTGTGAGTAAATCTGACGAGTGATAGAGCTAGATAGTGTATCGCCAAATGTTATCAGTGGGATGCGAGTCAACCAATACACATGATAATTAGCACAAGGGCTGCGCAGGAAGAAGGTCAGCGGAGAACCGGTAAAGTGCCCTTACGCTTGCAGAAGACTCACTTTTACACACCAGACAACGAAAATTGTATTAGTCGCTGCGTGTCCCATCGACGACTCGAGATACGTAGGCTCAGAAGTGTACAGATCAACAAACACATTCGAGGTATTGCGACTGGACTGTTTTACACCTGTACAGACAGTGTATCCGGAAGTGTCCTAAAAGTAGGTCATGCGACGTCACTGCTGCCGAACACCCAAAGGCGGGCTCTGGGCGAAAAAATAAATGCTGATAACAGACACGCTTATTTTACGGCATAGGTGTGGGACATTGTCTGCGAGCACAATCGTGCTCCGTTGTGGCCAAGCTGTTTTTTTACCTGAAAATGACCGTTTGTGTGCGGTCACAGCGGAGTATTTCAAACAAAACCCTTTATTCTCATCGCTTAAGGTTATTCCGCAAACCTAGTAGGCAACGCACATCAGCTTTGCAGTGATAAACTAGCATACGTAAGGAAGGCATTAAGTGTGTGTGTATGTCATCAAACATAACAAACACACAGAGATCGGCTATCAGGAGGTAACCTACCTGGGCATGAGCATCGGCTCTCCACTTGGTGGGTATATTCTTGTGCTCCAGCAGGTCCTTCAGCACTCTTTCCATGTACTGCTTCGACTCAGGCACGTCAGCCAGCAGGCTGCAATTTTTTATTTGACTGCGAATAAAGGCTGGCGGTAATGCATAACAGCGCACAAGGGCCAGAGTGTCGAGCAGGTTTACTAGTCGACTGGGTTTGTCGTGATTGACCCACCGAATCACCGCATTGTAGACCTCAGCCTCCGTGCGCACATGTATCTCATCACGCTGGATCAAGCTGGTGAACTGAGCCGGAGACAGATTCACCAGTTCGTCGTGCTTCACAATCTCGCTGAAGTTGCGGTCGATAAAGGCTTGAGTCTTTCGAGCTAGAGAGAGACATCCCACTGAATTGGCGAAATCCTGGATGCCTAGGGCATTGGAAACATGCAGCTGAGACTCGAGGAATGAGGAGCAGACGTTGACCACCGGGCTCATCTGCAGCATGGTGGCTGCACTTAGGATCTCGCAGACATTCAACTCGTTCACACGAATCTGGCCAGTGTAGGCGAAATGGACCAAGCGATGAAGGGCGAGGGGTGTGATGTAATGGAGGGAGATCTCGGGCACGGCCTCCTCCTTCATTCCGCTAGTGAACATGGCACGGAAGTAGGGGGAAGCTCCGGTGAGGACTATCCGGTGGCAGGGAATCTTTACGTTCTCCACGCGCAGGGTGACATCGGTCAGCTTGCCCGACTGAAAGAGGGAGAACATTACACCCATGGCCTCAGAGGCGTACTCAGAAACGTTGTAGTTTACACCCAGACTACCGGGGGAGCCGTTTCTATCTCCAATTCCACACCCCAAAGGGGAGGAATTGCTACCAATGCAGACAAAATTAATGCCCCCGGCATTAACGACCGGTTGACAGAACTGAGCCTCCGAATCAGCGGTTAGAGTAGTGGTAGTAGTTCCTGCAGACGACGCCGAGTCAGCCATTGGGAAATCTTCCACCGTGTTCTTCATGCCTGCGATCTACACAGGATTTAAAAAGACAGGAAGCTTAATTATGTAGTGGAAAACAGCGCAATTTCTAAGTCCTTATCAATCTACTCACGATATAAAAGGCTGTCTCAGAATAAATCCGTGGTAAAATATATTGCAAAATTCACTAGGAAAAGAAATGAGGTGGAGAATCCATCTAGATGACCGTTACGGCCGGCGTTCAGGCGAAATCCAGCAAGTGTAAACTAGTACAAGGTAGCGGGCGTGCCCATGATAAAAGAATTCTAGAAGACATGCAACGGATTCAGCAAGGTTTATGTGGTAACGTTTACCGCAAAAGGGGATGCGAAAGGGCAACCAGAAAGGGCACGATTAAGCCTCGATGGTGGAATCAGAAGGTTGAGAGTTGCAGATAGGCATTTCACCCGATTATCGCCGGTACACATGTATGGTTGTCCAAGTGAGGCGGCACTCCTTGCTGAACTGACAGCTATCTCAGTACCGCCCCGTCTTTCCGCACTGGCAGCATGCTGCATTTAACTCTCATCTGTAGCTACATTAAACCATGCTCCACGCAGCGACAACGCCCTGTTGTCTGCTTCTAGTGGCGGGTAAAACCCGATGCGTATAATCAGGGCACCACCTGTTTCCAATGGATTTCTTTCTGCGTGGTCTGCTTTGTGAAGGGGGAAGCGACCCAGCGTTCCGTGACAGACGCAGGCGGGTCCTGCATGTCAGGTCAGCCAGTGTGCCCAGTTTCACTGCTAGTCTTTTCAACGCAGTCTTGCCAGTGGATCAAGAGGAGAGTAGGAAAAGAGAGTGCGGCGGATGCCGCGCAAGCACACACAAATAATCACAATGAGGCCGCCTAAGACAACAACTACAACCCCGTATCGCCTCCACCCCTTATGAAGTCCAACAAAGAGGGTGACATACAACCACCTGCGGTCGTTCCCCAAGCACACTAACCGTGTTCCGTAGAGTTCGGTCAGTCTGAGGTGCCTAGACAGTTCTAATTAGGGACACAGTGTCTGTCTCCTCAAAAAGGGGATAGGAAAGGTATGCTAAGCAAACGCGGGTTCACGTCGTCCGCACAGATGGCCGTGGCTGCTGTATTCAAAAGACAGAAAGCAGGAACCCTGCTCGTACCCCCCCCCCCCGCCCCTACCGCCAGAGTGTCTTTGTCCACCCTAGCAATTTGGAGGGCTTCTTCTATTTTAGACAACCAAATGGCTGACAGACCAAAAAGGAGGACACCGCCGCACGTTAGAGAATCAATTCGATACAGGGCGACGGCTCTTGCTCTCAGCGAGGCTAACGTCGTCGGACAAGGACAGCCAAATGAGGCATGGGTGGTTGTCCAAAGGAAGGGTGGTGGGGATTTCCTCGCCACAAATATAAACGCCCACTGGAAGCCGCCTTCCCCACAGGACATCAATGACAGCCCCATAACAATGCGATTTAAACGCCACCGGAGAAAATCGTCACCATCCCATGCGCCTATGATTCAACAACCCTAAGTCCTGACGCCATGAAGGACGGGCACTAGGAGAACTAGCACGCTCCCCTCTTGCGCACGCCGAAAGCGGATGAGCTAATTCATCAGTGCACGAGCAGGCACAAACAACGCTGCATGAAAAAGAGAGAGAGAGAGAGAGAGCATGATTGCGCGGAATAAGAACTTAGACCAGAAACAGCCTCACACTGCTGAAGAACTGAATAAAATACAAGCTGCTTACCGTCTGCACTGCACCCTACCTTTCCAAGGATACCTCAACTGTGATGAAAGGAAAAACATCGGGGTCATCAGAACGCTTCACAGGCTCATTCTATCGTAAATGTGCAGCTGTCCTCTACCGTGAAAATCGCAGATTCTGGGGCCTTAGGCTGAACGATTTAGGGACGCCACCAATTATGCTTTTCAGCTTGCGATGAAGCCCTCGACAGAGTGCTTGAAGTGGCAAGATATGTTGGCCTTGATCACCAACACCCTATGCAGGAGACGACCAAGACAATGCAGAAGATTTCATGGCGAGGCCTCAAGTTCCGACACAGTTACAACTAGAGTCGAAAAAAGTGGAGGTCCCAACATCTGGACGAGGTAATTTTTTTGTCCCAGGCGAAATCGCATAGGACACCAAGGATGCCGACAGTGTCAAACTCGCCAGGCAAAGTTTCAACTGGAGAATCTGGAACAATTACCTTGTGGTCTCGCTTCAAGATCATCACTTGCACCCTATTCAATCGCCTGATCATACATTTTGGAGGAAGAACTTCCCCCAGAGGTGCATCGTGAATTTCAGAAGCACCGTGAAACAACTACTACGACGTTCGTAGCATGCCGATTACAGGAAAAATACCGGGGAACAATGATCAGTCACTATATTACCCACGTAGATCCCCAACGACCATGTATCCGGCGACGAAGAAGGACAACCGGCGAGAGGAAATAATTCTGTGCAGGAGTCTGACCTGGGGGTTTGGAGAGCGGTAGTCTCTGACGAGGTCAGGGCATGCGCTGACCACTCCTAAGGTAGGTCTGGCAGTGAATCCGGATGGTCTGGCGCTTTTATCCTTTGATGGGAGTGAGTTCGAGGGCACCGTGTTCTGTTTCGCGTGCGCCGCGACAATCGGTGCATGGGCAGTTGCACTTGTCTGCACGGGTGCGCATCTTCGATGAAGTCAGTCCAGGCAACCAGTCGGATTGTGAAGTCAACGGTTCTGGGAGCATTCGCAGTGATCACGGACGATTTTGAAGAGTCAGACAGTTGAGGAAAGGAGTGCCCAGTTCGGTGTTGGCTGTTAGCTACAGATCGCACAAAGGGCTCCAATCGCGTGAACCGAAATGGAGTCTTAGAAATTTTGAATAGTTCGAAGGCTTTAGGTTGAGGTTCAGGCATCTTCTCGACGGCATGATTGCGAGTGTCACAGACAACGAAATGGTTTCGGGACTCCACATTAGGATAGCATATCTACTCCAACCATCTCTAACTTCATGTTCTCGGCCCTGACAAACGCCTGTTGTGTAATAGCAAAGCGGAACCGACAGCAAGAAACAAATGAAGAGGAAGCTGCCCAAAATCTGTTGTAAAATACTTAAGGCCAAGCCACATAACCCCTTCGTTGATGGTTAGGCACTAAACAGACACGGGACAAAATGTGGACGTTGCCTCCGGATATGCTAACTTCTGACCAAATTCTGCCACCGATAAGTTGATCATCATACAGCAACCGGTAGCCACTGGGGAGTGTAAGTCATTGGTAACAACAATCGTTTAACCACCGTGGACGAGTTCTCCAATAGTCTTAGAAACTCCATTGCAAGAAGCACCTAAATTAACGACTTAATGTTGGTCCATGCCCTCAGAACCAATCAGGCTTTCGGTCGGCTTTAATCCTCCGCACGGACTCGGCAGGACATTCTTTTTAATACCAAACTGGGCAGGAGTCTTTTTAACGCTTCTATGCGGGCGGAGACGAGGATAATTTGCCCAACACCAGCGTAGAAGCCAAATAACCGTCATCGGAGCTCTCTTTGGAGGATAAAAATAGCGGAAGGATGGGAATGGATTCCTGACAGTGAAGTCATAGAATTGACTGGTGTGCCCATCATGTTTGGAATACAGGGACAAGTTCAGTTTCGACCAGCACTTCAAATGAGCAGTTAAAAAGGTGCCAGACGCTGTGGAGAAGCCACATAAAATTGGTCTTGCTGACCAGGAGAGCAACAAAAACTAACAGATCGTGAGTCGATGGCATTGCATTAGTTCCACTTCCACAACCATGACTGACTGGCGAAATGGGGTCATTACGATGATGATCTTTCGGACAGTCAGTTCCTGACAGAATCTAGGCCCTTTTAGGTTTACTGTTTCAGGTTACTTGGTATGGTGCCACAGGTGATACAACAGCTCACCAGACGTCTTGCCGAAGGCTACCGACAGAGGCATATAAGTTAGGGCTGCTGACCAATAGCACGGCCTGACCATTAGAGACAGCAAAATACTCGAACAGGAGGCGGGAACGCAATTCACAGCCCAGCTCGGGGATAGGATAATAGCCCGCATTGAGAGCGCCGCCAAGAGGAAAAAGTCGACCGTCTGCTAGTCCGACAACACGCACTCGACTCTGTCCTCTCTTACAACCGAGTAAATCGGCAGCCCTGATGACCGACAGGGAAAGTAGGACGGCGTGATAGTGCACAGTTCGAGGGCGCTCAGCTAGGTATAGACAAAAGGGAAAGAGCCAGACGTATAAAAAAGGTGCTAGCGTCGGTGTGCGTGCGTGCGTGCGTGCGCGCACGCGAGTGAGAGCGTTTACGTCCATCGGATTAAGACCAGAAAATGTGATACGCGTTGCCGTTGTCGTTGCTGGACGGGGGCTAAACGGTGTCCCTAAGTCGCCCCAGACGTCACGCAGCCAAAGAGAGAACGCATACACACACACACACACATCCACAGAGATAGGTTGATTTACTCTTCAGGCCGCCACAACAAGCGTCAGCATGTCCGGCTCCGCCTGAACACCCCGTTACAGAGCAGAGGCGTATACAGAAAGGGGAGGGCAGTAGCAGCAGAAGTAAATGACAGAGAGGGGAGTGGACGGGAGGGGGGTGGCTTAGAGCGACCGGCGGTGGAGTAGTGTGGTGGCTGGATAGTCGATTGCCGTCTACCCGCCATGACGCGCCCAAAAAGTTGGAGATACGACGGGCGAACGCGCACGCAAAGAACGCCATCTCCCCAACGCCCGCCGCCATGTGTCTCTTTTCT